CTGTCCATCCATCTTCTATCTACCTACCATTTATCTATCTATCTATCATCTACCCATCCATCCCCCTTTCTAGTTCCATCCAACCATCCATCCTTCCACCATCTTTCTATCCTCTACCTATCCACTTATCCATCCATCTTCTACCTACCTCTGTACCTACCTCTCCCTCCCCCTCTCTATCTATCCACCTATCCATCTGTCCATCCATCTTCTACCTACCAACCTACTATCTATCTATCTATCATCTATCTATCTATCTATCCATCCATCCATCCCCTTTTCTAGTTCCATCCAACCACCCATCCTTCCACCAATCTCTCTCTCTCTCTCTATCTATCCACCTATCCATCCTACCTCTCCCTCCCCTCTATCTATCCACCTATCCACCTGTCCATCCATCTTCTACCTACCAACCTACTATCTATCTACTTACCTACCTACCCATCCATCCTCCTTTCTAGTTCCATCCAACCATCCATCCTTCCACCCCTATCTATCTATCTATCCATCCACCTGTCCATCCATCTTCTACCTACCTACCTCTCCTCCCTCTCTCTCTCTCTATCCACCTGTCCATCCATCTTCTACCTACCTACCTACCCCTCTCCCTCTCTCTCTATCATGGCTGCCATTACAAGAAAAATGACTCTGAGCTGCCGGTAAAGCACAATGCAATTATAAAACTTTTCATGCTCAAATGTAAAATCGGTATTAAAAAATTAAATACTGGTAAACATAAATTACGCAAACCCTAGGCAGAGAGGGAATAAGCGCATCCACCTCTGTACTGGATATCTACACGTATTTCCGGTTTGCTCCAGCATGCCGAATGCACGCATGGGGTTGATTTAGCTTTCCAGCCCTAGCGACGAAGTCAATCAACCTTGGCCACGCCTCTCTTCTTCCGGCTGGGAAGCTCCAGTTCTGAGTCAGTCTTAGCCCGAGAGAGACGCGGGGAAGGTTGGCTCTTCATCTTTAGCAGAAAGGCTAAACAACCAGGTCGTACCTTTCCCTTCCCTTCCTTTCCCAGCGGGGAGAGCAGCGCTGGGTTTAAACCGCTCTTGTTATTCAGAACGGCTGCTGCTTTTTTTTTTTTTTTTTGCAGCCTTCGGCCGAAGCCTCCCGCTTTCCAAGTCTTTGTGATTTCAGGCAGGCCGGATCGATCGCGATCGCCATTTTGAGCGCCGCACGTGTCGCTTCCTAGGCCGGAGCGGGGGGGGGGGAAGAGATCTCTCCCTTCCAGCTCGCCTATTTGCATTTAAATAACGGTCATTTCGAAAGGAATCCAGCCGGCGACTTTTGCTAACCGACCTGGAAGCTCCGGTTAAAATTCAAACCACAGGAGACCCGTTTCTGGCGACCGCCTTTTCCCAAGAAGGATTCCCCCCCCCCCCAAGTTCAAACCGAGGCTTTTCACGGAAGGCTGCCTGCCTAAATTCGGCAGCTTGCTGCAGAGAAGTCCGCCGGCTCTTTCATCCCAAGGCTTTTTTGCCCTCAGGCGATTCGATAGCCTCCCCGCCGTTGCAATCGGTCTGACCACCCCAGGGACGAGGAACAAGACAGGCAGGACGAGGCGATGTCAGACTGTGAGGACTTAGCCCAGGATCCTCCTCCATCCGTGGGCCTGTTTAATCCGGCCCTCTTTAGGTCCTTGCTCCACAAGGCCAGGAACGCTGCTCCGATTGAGTCTGACGGAATTCCTCAGGCTGAGCCTTCCCCCAGCCAGGAACCCAACAGTGGGGTTTTTTCACAGCCGACTTTCACTGAGCAGTACATTCCCTGCCCTCCGCTTTTTCTCAACGTGGTCCGAGGACAATGGGAGACGCCTGGTACTTTTCCATCCCCAGAGGAGACCGTTCAAAAGTTGTTTAATGTGGCACCAGCGCTGTCCGAGTTGCTAGCAGTCCCCGAGGTGGACGAGCCGTTAGCAACTTTGGTTTCTTCCTCGCCCGTTCCCAGAGATTTAGCAGAGGTTTTGAAAGCCGAGGATAAGAAGGCAGAGCTTACTTTCCGCAGGACTCATCGAGCCATAGCATGGGCGATAAAGGCAGCTCTGTCTACTTCCTTTTTCGCCAGAGCTTCAGTTTTCTGGCTCCGCCAATTAAAAGCTAGGGTCCGGCCAGAAGACCTACGGATGCATCAAGACTTAAATAAATTAGTGGCTGCATCAGAATACATGGCGGACTCGTCCTTGGACGCAGCCAGATTTTCCTCTCAGGCATTGGCGTCTAATGTTTTGTCTCGGAGACTTTTGTGGCTCAGACAGTGGCAAACAAATGCTAAGTCCAAATGGCAGTTGGCAACAGCCCCTTACAGGGGAGGCCAGTTATTTGGAGAGGCGCTAAACTCTTATCTGATTGAGAACAAGGATAAGCGTAAGGTCATATCCCATCTTGTTAGGAGAGCAGACAGGAGAGCTACCCCTTACCCCCGCAAGCGGTCCTTTCACTCAACCGACACAGGGTCGGAATTCACCCATTACTCCAGTCCTTATTCTCCCGGACCAGAATCTCAATTCAACAGACCGGATAATAGGGACAGGTCCAGACAGCAATCTCAGGCCAAGCGGCCCTTTCGAGGCGCGGGACACCGTCCTTTTAGACGATCCAAGTGACTGCACAGGTGTCCCTCCCATAGGGAGCAGGTTGGCTCTCTTTGTACACAAATGGGAGGCCACCACTACAGCTTTTTGGGTTCTCAACCCCATCGGATTCAGACTGGCTCTAGAGTTCCACTCCACCCCCCACCCCACCCCGAGACATTTCGTCCCTTGCCCATTATCCAAAAATCCGGTCAAAAAAGGCCTCATGAAAGAAGCCATTCGACATCTGGAGATCCAGCCCATAGAACCAGTACCAGAAGAGCATAAGGGGCGGGGGTTTTATCCCATCCTGTTCATCGTTCCAAAGGCCTCGGGAGGGTGAAGAGCAATCCTAGATTTAAAAAAATCAAATACACGTTTGACATATAAAAAGTTCAAGATGCAAATGCTCCAATCCATATTGGCAAGCGTCAGAAAGGGGGACTTCCTGATGCCCATTGATGTGACAGAGGCCTACCTTCACATTCCCATCCTTCCAGGACACCAGAAATTCCTCAGGTTCTGCTACGCAGACCACCATTTTCAATACAGGGCTCCACCATTCGGCCTGTCATCGGCTCCCAGAGCATTCACAAAGGCGGTGGAGGCAGCGCATCTAAGCACCATTCCGGTGCATGTCCAATGTTATCTGGAGGACATCCTCCTTCAGTCTTCATCGGTCCAGTTGGCTCAGTCAGACCTGGCATTGTCCATCAAGACCCTCCAGGATCATGGGTGTTCAGTAAATGTTCAAAAAAGCCAGATAATTCCCTGTACCCACATCCTTTACCTGGGCATGGTGATAAATACAAGGAAGTGTGAGGTTTACCTGTCTCAGGAACGTCGGAACAGCATCCGATCTCTAGTCACCTTAGAAGTTCTTTCTCAAGTGCTAGGAAAGATGGTGTCTTGCATAGCGGTAGTTCCTTGGGCCTGACTCCACTCCAGAACCCTACAATGGTTCTTAACTACCGTTCCAGAGACTAGGCACCACAGTTGCAGGGTACAGGTCCCGTCACAGACCCTGAAATCCCTCCAGTGGTGGGTCTCACCAGCCATGGCCAAGGGGACCTTATATTCAAGGAGCCCAACCAACTCATCCTCACATCGGATGCCAGCTTGTTCGGCTGGGGGAGCGCACCTACAATCCCAGTTGGCCCAGGGCCGGTGGTCCCGATCAGAGCTCAAGCACAACAGAAACTGGTTGGAGCTCAGGGCTATCCATCTGGCTCTACGCCACTTTTGCAACACAGTGGCAAGGCAAGACGTTCTAGTCCTCAACGGACAATGGGGCGACAAAAGCCCATGTCAACAGGCAAGGGGGTACCGACTCGAGATCTCTCATGGCCGAGGCTCAGTTATTGGGAACCTGGGCAGAGACCAACCTCTCAGAGACGAACCGGCAAGCGGACTTCTTGAGGACAACAGTGGACCACTCCGAGCGGCGCCTGCATCCAAGGAGATATCGGAGAGGTTCGGTCATCCAGCACTGGGCTTGTTCGCTACCCCGGCGAATTCCCGGCTCCTGAGATTCTCCCGGTTCCCATCTCCAGGGGCGGAAAGGGTAGATGCCCTACGCAGCCCGTGGCCCAGAGAACTCCTGTATGCGTTCCCTCCTCTGCCTCTGATGCAAGCAGTCATCCGGAAGGTGCTGCCGGAAAGGGCAGAGGTGATACTCGTTGCTTCCTGCTGGCCAAGACGGACGTGGTTTGCCAACCTCGTACGTCTATTGATCTCTCCTCCATGGAGGCTACTCAGTATTGAATCTCCCTCAGCCAGGGGACTCTACAACACCCAGAGCCCCAGTGGTTCCAGTTAACCGCCTGGCATTTGAAAGGAGACTCTTAATGAAGGAATTCTACTCACCAGCTGTGATTACCATAATTCAGGTTTCAAGGAATCCGGCAACAAATTGAATTTATGAGTCCACTTGGAAGAATTTCTGCAACTGGTGTGGAAGGCAACAGTTAGACCCAGCTACAATTACTATTCCAAGAATTATTTATGGGAGGGACTTAAGAAGGGCTTAGCACCCAACACAATCCGCAGGCAGGTAGCTGCTCTATCCACGGTGCTCAGATATGACAACTCTGAGCCCTTGGCTCAACACCCCATGGTACATTCCTTTGTCAGGGAGGCAATCAACAGCAAACTGCCCGTGGTTCACAGATATCCCGCTTGGGGACCTGTCCAAGGTCTTGCAGTTTCTCACTTCACCTCCAGTTGAGCCCGTCAGAACCTCCACTCTATGGTTCTTGACACTCAAGGTTGCCTTCTTTAATAGCCATCACATCGGCTAGGTCAGGGGTAGGCAACCTTAGCTCTTTGATGACTCATGGACTTCAACTCCCAGAATTCCTGAGCCAGCCATGCTGAGGGGAAAGGGAGAGGTTTCCAAGCTGAGCCATGCTGGCTCAGGAATTCTGGGAGTTGAAGTCCACAAGTCATAAAAGAGCCAAGGTTGCCTACCCCTGGGCTAGGTGCATTTCGGAATTGGCTACTCTCTCGGTTAGAAATGATGTACGCATTTTCCATAGTGACAGGGTGGTCCTACGCTTAAACCCCTCCGTCCCCAAAATCAACTCATTGTTTCACAGGACACAGGAGCTTGTGCTGCCAAATTTTTGCCCGAAGCCGTCCCACGACCCGGAACGTAAACGGCACCCCTTGGACGTTTGTAGAGCCTTGCTATATTAAGCGAACTGCCTTCTTTTGCAAATCTGAAGCCCTCTTCGCCTCATTCCACCCCTCTTCACTGGGTCAGAAGGTGACTGCCTCGACTGTTGGCGGATGGACTAAGGCTTGCATAGCAGGAGCGTACCAAACACACTCCTTGCCAGTTCCCAGCTGAATCACCGCACACCCCACTCGCAGTTGTGGCTACTTCTGCAGCGACGCAGGTATCCATCGAAGAGATAATGCAAGGCAGAGACTTGGTCATCTCCTTCCCCATTTGTTAGGTGCTATAAATTAGATGAGTTTGCCTCCGCTGACACTCCTGAGGGCACTCCACAGTGGAAGCTTTGGTATGTCCCATGCGTGGATTCTCCCCTCGTCATGCTGGAGAAGAGGTCTTAACATGGACGCCTTTTCTCAGCATGACAATGGAGAATCCACTCCACCCCCCTTGGATCCATCCAGTCCTGTGTCAGGGTTGTTTTTTTTTTTTTTGAGCCAACACCACTTCGTAAAATCATCCACCGCTGTGCCTTCGTCGTGACTGGGGATTCCTAGCTGGAAGAAGAGAAGCGTGGCCAAAATTGATTGACTTAGTCTGTAGGGCAGAAAGGCTAAATCAACCCCATGCGTGGATTCTCCATCGTCATGCTGAGGAAAAAAGCGTTCAGGTAAGACAACGCCCCTTCTCTACAAAAGCCTTGTGTTGATTGTAATTCCCATTAATTCTGCCACATTGGGGTATCGGCTGCAGAGGATGAGAGCTGTAATCCTGCATATTGCCTCCTTTCTTTGCACGAATTTTAGAATATTCATATATTCCCTGCCAACTGAGCTGCAATTTTTAGTACTAAACCTACTTAAGGAATTAAAGGAATCTAAGTGCCTTTTTTTTTTTTGTAACACACAACAGTTGGTTCTTTGGTGAGGTTTCCATTCTCCTGTTCTAATTATTGAGTTCAAGGTGAGGTGGGGGGGATGATTTCAAGTTTTCATAAGAGTTACTGGCAGTAGCTTCCTTATTCGTTCTTTGCAACAGGTGACTTATGGTTGACAACCCAATGAAATTTTGTTGTTCATAATTTTCCATTTGAATTGAATTACTTTTTCCTTGTGATTCACTCACTCACACTCACTCTCCTATCTATCTATCTATCTATCTATCTATCTATCTATCTATCTATCTATCTATCTATCTCTCTAATCTATATCTTTATATCTAATCTACATCTATCTTTATCTCTATTCATGTATTTATGTGTCTATCTTTATATCTAATCTATTTATCTATCTTCTCTATCTTATCTATCATGGCTGCCATCACAAGAAAAATGACTGGGCTGCCGGTAAAGCACAATGCAAATATAAACTATCATGATAAAATGTAAAATCAGTATTAAAAATTAAATACTGCTAAATATAAATTATACAAACCCTAGGCAGAGAGAGAATAAGTACGTTCACCTCTGTACTGGATATCTATACATATTTCCAGTTTTCCCTGGGGCTGGTGACATAGCTAAGGATTCCTGGAACATCAGGAGGGGAGATGGAGCCCAAAAGCTGCTTTTCCTAAAGGCAACTGGATTTTCTCGTTTTGTTTTGTTTTCCTTAAAAATGTTTTGCTTCTCATCCAAGAAGCCGCTTCAGTTCTGGTTGGCTGGGGAATTCTGGGAGTTGGTTCACAAATCCTAAAGTTGTCAAGTTTGGAGGCTCTGTCCTTGATCATTGTGTTTGGCCAATCCTGGATTAGTAGGCTCTTTTTCCCAAAGTTCAACTGGACAACACAGAGCCACAGTTGCAAAAGTGTGAAAGCTTTTTGACAACTGAATCTTACTGTAATGGAGACAGTTGTTAACAATAAATGTTCGCTCACATGCTGTTAGCTAAAAATCTTTCAAAGTGAACAGTTTGGGGCCATGTGGCTCATTTCATTGTTGTCACTAAATTACAATCCTTGTCAAAATGTGATTGATGTCAGATTGCCTTTTCCTTCACTGCTCTAGATTGATGCTTAGAATTTAGTTGGATGTTACCAATGTGTTTGTTTGTTTTTCCAGTTGGGAAGACTTCCTTGATCACCAGATTCATGTATGACAGCTTTGACAATACCTACCAGGTAAGAACGTTTTGGTTTTCTGACTTAAGATATAAGATAACTTTTATTGTCATTTTTTTTTTACTGTGGGCACAACGGCACACATCAAAAAATGAAATTGAGTTGCCCGCTCTCAAAGTGAAACGCATACATGACGCACACCTAAACATACTATGAACAACATATGTGTAGACCCACATCCCTACATATTCGTAGCAAATAAATATTAAATACTTCCAAACTTGTTTCAGAGCCTTTCTGAAATGTTTCAGGTTAATAGAGATTTCTGTCTCTTTTTTAAAGTCATGCAGCAGGAAAGTGATAAAGATGTTTCTCGAGATTGTTCAATAATAGAATAGAAATAGTAGAAGGTCAGGCCTCTGTTACTAACACATAGGAATCAGAAATGCTTCTGGCTTTATTGTCAATATGTCTGCTTTCAAGGAAAGACTGTACTAGTTATGCACCCTGTAAAAAATACTGGAAACTGTTTTCTCTTTTCGTGTTTCACAACTATCCCTTATGTGTTTCTGTATTTCTGGCTAATATTGGTTCTGCAGAAGTAACCAGATACTTTAATAAGTAAGGAAAAAGGTTTATGCAAACTAAAAGGTACAGATCTTTTTGTATATGTAGTGAACGTAACCCACTTGTCAGATGGCAGTCCCACACTCAAAACATTCAGCCTGAATTACAGGAGGGTGCTCTGGCACGTACATTCTGAGATAGAACATAGAATAAATGGGCTAGGAGGGACCTTGGAGGTCTTCTAGTCCAGCCCCCCCCCTGCTCAAGCGGAAGAACCTACACCATTTCAGACAGGTGGCTGTCCAGTCTTTTCTTAAAGGCCTCCTGTGATGGAACACCCACAACCTCTGAAGGCAACTTCTGCTCCACTGATTAATCAGGAAATTTCTCCTTAGTTCTAGCTCTCCTAGATCTCTCCTTGACTAGTTTCCATCTGTTGCTTCTTCTCCTTCTCAACTTTGGCCAATGTGGAAAACATGAAGTCTTTTGAAAAGAAAGGGTAGAAGGCTGTGGCCAGAGGTTGGATAGAAAATGGATCATCCACCATTCCCAATACCTTTGTGATGGAATGTGGACCTGGAGACTTAAGTGGAGGCCAATTTTGAGAACGCACAGCTTGGACTTGGAATACGGCATCCAGTTTTAGTCACCACGATGTAAAAAAAGGTGTTGAGACTCTAGAGAGAGTGCAGAGAAGAGCAACAAAGATGATCAGGGGACTGGAGGCTAAAACATAGAAGGAACAGTGGCTGGAATTGGGTATGTCTAGTTTAACCAAGAGAAGGCGGGGCATGATAGTAGCCTTCCAATATCTCAGGGGCTGCCCCAAAGAAGAGGGAGTCAAGCTATTCTCCAAAGCGCCTGAAGACAGAACGAGAAGCAACGGTTGGAAACGGATCAAGGAGAGAAGCAACCTGGAACTAAGGAGAAACTTCCTGACCGTTAGAACAATTAACCAGTGGAACCACCTGCCTCCAGAAGCAGTGAATACTCCGATACTGGAAGTTTTTAAGAAGAGACTGGACAGCCATTTGTCCGAAATGGTATAGGGTTTCCTGCCTGAGCAGGGGGTTGGACTAGATGACCTCCAAGGTCCCTTCCAACTTTATTATTATTATAGCTTTCCCAGAGAGAAGCCCAGATTAAGAGGCTGCAGAAACCCGAGATGGATGGGGCAGGAGGGAAGATGTTCACGGCAGCCACACCCTGGAAACTCTCAGGATAGATCTAGTGCAGTGGTTCTCAACCTTTTTAATGCCGCGACCCCCCAACCGGTCGTAAGTCAAGGACTACTCAACTGGTGCAGCACCGTTTGCAGATTGGGACTTTTGGCAGGCTCAGCAGGGCAGAGACAGCCTGGACAATTCCTATTGGCTTTCCAAAGCCAATAGAAGAAAAGGGAGCAGCGCAGCTAAGGAAAAGGGGGGAAAAAATGGCGGACTGCGTTGTTTGGGGACCCCCGTGAAATGGTCGTTCGACCCCAAATGGGGTCCCGACCCACAGATTGAGAACCATTGATCTAGTAGGTTAGAAGGCTATAGCTTTAATATGCCAAGATGCTATTAGTTGACTATAAGTAAATAAAGGATTTAATTTGTTTGGATTTCACTGTATCATCTTTGGGCTTGGCCTCGACAAGCTTCGATGTGAGGTTTGAAATCTCAAAGCAGCTGGAAAAGTCCAAGAAGCAAATTAAAAATATATCTAGCACAAATTTCTGGCTATTCGTATTTGAAGTAAATACGAATAGCCAGAAATTTGTACTAGATATATTTTTAATTTGGTTTCTCAGTATTCCATTAAGTCTCGTGTTCTCTGCAAAACTTAACGGAATTGAGTTTTGAATTTTGGCCTCCATCCATATTTTGGAATATAAGCCAAGAAGGTGCCATTTTTTCTTTTAGTAACTTAACTATCTGTAATTTTGAACTCTCTCTTCTGGCTTATAATACTTTATAGGGAAGAACAAAACCATCCTACCATTCTGCAGCACTGTTATTTTATCTTGTGTTTTTTTTTTAATTTGAACTAATTCATTAGCTGCTGAATGGCTGATTGTAAAAGCTCTATAATTATCTCCTTCCACACTGAGTGCCTGCAATTTTTTTGTATTTCAGTTAAACATATTATTAATGCATTATCTTAACAATGTTTGATTTAATTGTTAAATTCACGTTATCCAGGAATTGGCAACATAAACATTATTTCACCTGCTTAGAGACTGGAAGTCAAACTAGGCAAATTCTGACTGAGACTAATCAGACCAAGCAAATTCCTTTTTTAAAAAAAATACTCATGCATTTGTTGTATTTTCCTCGTTCTGAAAGTTGAGGAAGATTGCATAAAAAGAGGCATAGGTTAGGTCAGTGGTGGCGAACCTATGGCATGAGTGCCAGAGGCGGCACTCAGAGCCCTCTCTGTGGGCACGCGCGCCGTCGCCCCAGTCCTAGGCCTTCAGCTGGGTTTTATAAAACCTTTTCGCTTTACGCCTCCACTGGCGTGTGCAAAAAAAAAGATCCAATCAATCAGTCAATTTCAACTTCTTGCGGGGGAAAAAAAATCTTGCAAAGTTGGAATTGATTGATTGAACTTTTTAGTCCCACCCAGTCTGCCGTTACCACCGCAGCCATGCCCACCCAATTGACCACACCCAGCCAATGGGCCATACCCACCTGGCACCTGACGATGCATAAGTGGGTTTTGTGTTGCAGTTTGGGCACTCGGTCTCTAAAAGGTTCGTCATCACTGGGTTAGGTGACTAATTCTTTTCGTTTATTTCAATTAAAAGTCCCAGCCACGATCAATTAACCTCATCTCTGAAACCTGTGCACGAGTGCTTTGCGTTCTTCTTTGAGGATACTCAAACTTTAGTTTTGGCATTCTTCAGGAGAAGAGTTTTGCAGAACTATAAAGGCCTTTCCAAGATGCTATTCCGCAGTGAGGCTTTAGCATCAGCACAGCTGATGTACTAAAGTGACCTTCTTTTTCTTCTTGTGCCATATCCGTTACCGGACGTTGGCGATCCTGTTTTTATCAGCAGCTGCACGAAAAAGTGCTGCTGAGTTTTGTCCGAACCGGTCCCTTAGATTTTGAAGCCATGATGTTCTTCTTCTGCCTGGACCTCGTTTGCCTTCCATCTTTCCCTGGAGGATTAAATGGAGTAGGCCGTATTTTTCTGGGTGCCGCATCACATGTCCGAAATATTCTAATTTTCGTTTTTTAATTGTTTTGATAATTTCCCCACCAAGTGGACCAACCTGCCTCCAGAAGCGGTGAATGCTCCAACACTGGAAGTTTTTAAGAAGTGACTGGACAGCCATTTGTCCGAAATGGTGTAGGGCTTCCTGCCTGAGCAGGGGGTTGGGCTAGATGACCTCCAAGGTCCCTTCCAACTCTTGTTATACCGTTCTTCTGCTAAGCACACTGCTCCTTCCTCTCTCGCTTTCTCCGTCGGTGACTGAGCAAGCCCAGTGCAGCTACGTCTCTGTGCCCCTCCTCTGGTTGGAAACAGATAGCGGGGGGAGAGGGCAAGGTTCGAAAGACCCCCCCCCCATTGCCTTTTCCAAGCTAGAAACCCTGCTTCCTGCACTGTGAGGCACGAGGAAGCCCGAGAGCAGCCGTGCGGAAGAAGAAAAGGTCGGCTGAATAGTGACGTGCAAGGCTTCTTTCAAGTCCTCCGTCAATCTGTTCGCCCCGGAGCATTCTCTCATGCCTGCACAGCCCACGGCTTCGGGGGCTTTGCACACAACGAGCTTTCTGACGGGGAGGGAGGGAGACCACCTCTGCCCGCACCAAGACGAATGTCCAGTTGCGTGCCCAGATAAAATTTGCACAACAGGAGAAACGTTCCCTGCTTCCAAATGTCGGGCTTCTGGATTCACTTACTAAGCACAAGGGATGAAGCTGCTCAAAGGGAAGGCGGAGAGTAGCAACAAGGGGAGATCGTTTAGGAGCCGACTGGGCAGAATCTGTTCCTCCTCAGTTGGCAGCATAAGTTCCTTGTCGACAGAACAGCCGTCTGAAAGATTTAAAAGGGAATTTTCATCAAGAGAAACGTTCTCCCCAATTCCAAAGGCCTCTTAATGGAATGGAATAGAATAGAATTACAGAATAGAATAATAGAATAGAATAATGGAATGGAATGGAATAGAAATAAGAATAGAATAAAATAGAATAGACTAGATTGTAGAATAGGATAGGATAGGATAGATAAATTATAGAATAGAATAGAGTAGAATAGAATAGAATTACAGAATAAAATAGGATTACAGAATAGGATAGGATAGAATAGAATAGGAATAGGAATAGGAATAGGAATAGAACTGGAAGGGACCTTGGAGGTCTTCTAGTCCAGCCCCCTGCTCAAATAGGAAGACCTATACCATCTCAGACAGATGACTGTCCAGTCTCTTCTTTAAAATCTCCAGTGACGGAGCGCCCACGATTTCTGGTGGCCAGCAGTTCCACTGGTTAATTGTCTTCACTGTTAGGAAGTTTCTCCTTAATTCCAGGTTGCTTCTCTCTTGGGTCAGTTTCCAACTGTTGTTTCTCATCCTTCCTTCTTGTGCTTTGGTGAATAACGTGTCCCCCTCTTCTTTGCGGCAGCCCCTCAAATACTGCAATACTGCTATCATGTCTCCCCTGTTTCTTCTTTTCTTTAGACTAGCCAAAGCCAAGTCCCACAGCCGTTCTTCGTACGTTTTAGCCTCAAGGCCTTGGATCATCTTAGTTATTCTTCTCTGAATTTTTTCCAAACTTTCAACATCTTTTTTGTGATGTGGTGACCAAAATTGGCTGCAGTATTCCAGGTGTGGCCTCAGTAGGGCTTTATAAAGCGGTGCTAATACCCGCGTGATCTTGATTCCTATGCCTCTGTTTATACAACCCAGGATTGTATTAGCTTTTAAGTTGAGGACGACCTGTAATGGATGTAAAAGTTTGATCTTTGCCTTAGATTAGATTCTAGATTAATTGCCAGCTGTTCATCTACAATTTGAAAACGCCAATTGCCTTGATTAAATGGATCGAGCACAATGGCTAATATTTCAGATTTTCACTATTCTTGACCGCTCATTGAGTGGATTGTGCATATTTTAGCAAAAGGAGTGTGTGTGTGTGTGTGTGTGTGTGTGTGTGTGTGTGCATTTATGTACTCACTGTTGAATTGCTTTTTGCAGGCAACAATCGGCATTGACTTCTTATCGAAAACTATGTACCTGGAAGATCGCACAGTGAGTAAGAGTTTTGCAGTAACTAGCCTGTTTTAACATTGATGGTGCATTGCGTTGCCTAAATTAGGGTTTCCCAACCTTGTGAAGTTTGTAAGATGCGTGGACTTCAACTCCCAGAATTCCCCAGCCAGCATGGCTGGCTAGGGAATTCTGTGAGTTGAAGTCCATATGCCTCAACATTGCCAAGATGCATGGACTTGGTCCACAAGTCATATGGGGCCATAGTTCCCCCATGCTGGCTGAGGAATTCTGGGAGTTGAAGTCCACAAGTCATGAAGGGGCCATAGTTCCCCCATGCTGGCTGAGGAATTCTGGGAGTTGAAGTCCACAAGTCATGAGGGGCCATAGTTCCCCCATGCTGGCTGAGGAATTCCGGGAGCTGAAGTCCACGAGTCATGAGGGGCCATAGTTCCCCCATGCTGGCTCAGGAATTCTGGGAGTTGAAGTCCACGAGTCATGAAGGGGCCCAGGTTGCCTACCCCTGGCCTAGGCAATGTGGAGATTCAGGCCCTCTCTAGCTGCAAGGGCCCTGAGTTCCTTCTGACCATCTCCAGTTTGAATGTCAATCAAGCTATCAAATTTTTCTTACCGTCCCAATCCAGCAAATCATTTTGAAGAGAACGCTCTCAAAATGATAACCCTTTGCCAGATTGGTTAAATTTTTTAAAATCACACCGTTAGGAAACATTTCCAGCCCTCTTATTACCATCAGTGCTTGTTTCTCGTTTACCTTGCTTTAAAATTCAACGCGGGATCAAGCTACCCAGCATATGGCTGGCGATTGGCTTTGTTCATAAGGCCCGCTGATTCCAAACAGCTGCTTTTTAGTTATCCCAAGTTTCTTGCAAAATCTTTTAACTCAAGCGCAGGGGTGTGTACACACACCTGGGCGACTTTAAGACTTGTGGACTTCAACTCCCAGATTCCCCCGCCACCGTATCGTATCTCCTGCCTGAGCAGTGCCTTCCAACTCATTAAACTAGACGCACCCAATTCCAACATACAAAGAACGGTTGCTGGAATTGGGTCTGTCTAGTTTAAGGCAGAGAAGGACGAGGGGGGACAGGATAGCCATGTTCCAGTATCTCAGGAGCTGCTCCAAAGAAGAGGGAGTCAAGCTATTCTCCAAAACGCCTGAAGAAGGCAGGACAAGAAGCAACAGATGGGAACTCATCAAGGAGAGAAGCAACCTGGAACTAAGGAGAAACTTCCTGACAGTTAGAACAATTAACCAGTGGAACCACCTGCCTCCAGAAGCGGTGAATGCTCCAACACTGGAAGTTTTTAAGAAGAGAGACAGCCATTTGTCCGGAATGGTAGAGGGCCGTGGTGGCAAACAAGTGGCACTCAGAGTCCTCTCTGTGGGCACGCATGCCATCACCTCAGTCCCAGGCCCTCAGCTGAGTTTTATAAAACCTTTTTGCTTTAGGCCTCCGCTGCCATGTGCAAAAAAAAAAGGGGGGGGGTTCAACCAATCAATCAATTTCAACTTCTCACGGGGAAAAAAAAAGATCTCACAAAGTTGGAATTGATTGATTGAATGTTTTAGTCCCGCCTAGTCTGCCATTATCACTGCAGCCACGCCCACCCAATGGGCCACACCCACCCAACGGGCCACGCCCACCCAGCACCCGACGATACATAAGTGGGTTTGGGGGTTGCATTTTGGGCACTCGGTGTCTAAAAGGTTCGCCATCCCTGGTCTAGGGTTTCCTGCCTGAGCAGGGGGTTGGACTAGATGACCTCCAAGGTCCCTTCCAACTTTATTGTTATTATAACTCTGTTCTTCTGTCACTCTGCTGGAGAATTCTGGGAGTTGAAGTCCACAAGTCATCGTTGCCAAGGTGGCATCTGCCTGCTTGGGTTTCTCCCTGATCTTCCTTTGTTTGCATGCTGCCCCAAGAGACGCCTGAGGCCACCTGCCAGATCTGCAAAGTTAGCTGAGTTTCCCTGCTTTTCCCCCCAAAAAGGGCTCCTGGACTCAACCAGGTCCCCCGAGTAATTCTCACGGCCTGCTTCTGCTTGCTCTTTCAAAGTTAACACCTTCTGTGCACGATGGGTTTTTTAATATATATTATTATTATTTTAAAAAGCTTTGCTTTTTGCTTTTTTTATTTAAAAAAAAAAAGGCAGTTGAAAATTTTGTTCACTGGAGTGGCAGTTTGGCTTTTTTTTTTTTCTTTTTTTCTTTTTCTTTGTAAATTTTCCTCCCGTCCCACAGATCAGGTTGCAGCTCTGGGACACTGCGGGCCAGGAACGTTTCCGTAGCCTCATTCCCAGTTACATCCGCGACTCTGCTGCTGCTGTAGTAGTATACGATATTACAAGTAGGTACATTTTTTTTTTTAAGCTCTGGCTTTTGACGTGTGTTTTTTTTTTCCCCCTTCTTGCTTGTTTTGATTGATTCCCATTAGGTACGGTTGCAATTGTGGGACACGGCAGGCCAAGAGCGGTTCAGGAGCTTGATTCCTAGCTACATTCGTGACTCCACTGTTGCCGTTGTTGTGTATGATATCACAAGTGAGTGGGGGGGGGGCATTTCCAGTATTCTTGGCGCATGTGCTCCCTCCCTCTTTTCCCTTCCCTCCTTCCTTCTTTCCCTCCTCTCCCTCCTTTTCCTTCCTTCCCTCTCTCCCTCCTTCCCGTTTCACTTTCTTTCCCCTTCCTTCCCTTCCTGTCCTTTCCTTCTCTCTTCCTTCCCTTCCCTTTCCTCTCCTTCCCTTTCCTCTCCTCTCCTCTCCTTCCCTTCCCTTCCCTCTTCCTGTCCTTTCCTTCTCTCTTCTTTTCTTCCTTTCCTTTCCTTCCCTTCCCTTCCTGTCGTTTCCTTCTCTCTTCCTTTCTTCTCCTTTCCTTTCCTTCTCTCTTCCTTCCCTTCCCTTCTCTCTTCCTTTCCCTTCCCTTCCCTTCCTGTCATTTCCTTCTCTCTTCCTTTCCCTTCCCTTCTCTTCTCTCTTCCTTTCCCTTCCCTTCCCTTCCTGTCGTTTCCTTCTCTCTTCCTTTCCCTTCCCTTCCCTTCCTGTCATTTCCTTCTCTCTTCCTTTCCCTTCCCTTCTCTTCTCTCTTCCTTTCCCTTCCCTTCCCTTCCTGTCGTTTCCTTCTCTCTTCCTTTCCTCTCCTTTCCTTCTCTCTTCCTTCCCTTCCCTTCCCTTCTCTTCTCTCTTCCTTTCCCTTCCCTTCCCTTCCTGTCATTTCCTTCTCTCTTCCTTTCCCTTCCCTTCCTGTCGTTTCCTTCTCTCTTCCTCTCTTTTCCTTTCCTTCTCTCTTCCTTCCCTTCCCTTCTCTTCTCTCTTCCTTTCCCTTCCCTTCCTTTCCCATCTTTTCCTTTTCTCTCTCTCCCCTTCCCTCAAGGCAAGCTGTGCATGCTATACCACAGTTGTGCTTGTCCCTCACTGTGGCATGAAAATGGTTTTGTTGCCTGGAGACTTCAAGCGGGAGACTCTCTACCGTGTTTCAAATGGATGGGACCCTGTTCTAGGCGCTTCCCCTCCACCGGGGCTCAACCCTAGAGACGGCCAGGTCCTGCGCCCGTAATCTTAACGAGACCACAAGGATGGCTTTGAACATGTGCAGGAGGCTTTTTCCTCCCCCCGTGGATTAGGCCAAATTCATTTGCGTGGTAAGGATTCGAAAACGGACTCCGGCTCAAACGCTGGGCTTTTGGGGAAAGACGACTCCTGCTTTCTCCAGCTCTTTTTTAAATTTTAAACATTCTGTCCATCTCCTGAGCACAACCGTGGAGTTTTTGCCCAAAGGTTGCTGACTCTAGAGCAGTGTTTCTCAACCTTGACTATTTTAAGGCATGTGGACTTCAACTCCCAGAATTCCACAGCCAGCAATGCTGGCTGTGGAATTCTGGGAGTTGAAGTCCACATGCCTTAAAATGGTCAAGGTTGAGAAACACTGCTCTAGAGGCAAATCCTCTCTGTTTTTGTTGGTTCTGCTTCTCTCCGTCTTCTCTCTTCTGCATTCCTTCTCTTCCCTGTGTGCGTGCTCAGATTGCCGGAAAGCAGGCCGGTCTGTCTCATCACGGTCTCTCCATTCATCGGCTGTTCTGTGGGGTGTTATTGTCCTGTGTTGCCTTTTTAAGTTCGAGTTCCTCTATTGAAATCCTTTCTTGTTGTTTTTTTTTGCATCGCTCCCAAAAGCTCCAGGGATTGTAACATCCCGTTCTCATGTAGACAAAAACCTTCTTTTTTTTCTCCTTCCCCTTCCTTCTAATTAATTTCACGGTTAAATTTCCTGGTAAAGGTATGTGCTTTCCAAAGAACTGCATTTAGATTCTTCCATCTCCATTTGAAACACACACACACACACACACTACTAATAACCATTTTAAAAAACCTTATCACGCTAAGCAACTCCTGTTTTTGTTCAGGTTCAAATCTGCCTTTGAAATAGACAAACCGAACGAAGAGGAATTGATGTTGAAAGACGAAGTGGAAAAATTGAGATCTTTTTTTTTATTATTCTTATAAAATCTAGGCTTAGTTGGAATGGAAAGTTTTGGGAGTTTTAATGACTCCACTTATTTCCAAGCATGGAAAAAAAAAATACTGTTAATGGACTGCAGATGATACCATTTCAAGGTAGAAATGTTTGTTCTTCTTTTTTCTGCTTTTCCAGTTTGGTCATATCACAATCTAGGCGATGGTTCTAACCAGGCTGGTCACTTGCTGTCCAGTAACACGGATTTAACGCCAGAAGCACCCAGATTTCAAAAGCACACTTTTTGAACAGGCAGTTTCTCCATAAGTACCTATTAGATGACTTCTTGCTTGCTATTTCTAGCGCTATGTCCTCATATAAATGAAGAGGATTTGGGGTCTGGATGCTAAACCATATAATGAACGATTGAGGGATAAAAGAGAAGGACCTGGAGTGACATGATAACTGTCTTCCACTGAGTAGAATAGAATAGAATAGAATAGAATAGAATAGAATAGAATAGAATAGGAAATATAGAATAGAATAGAAAAATAGACTAGAATAGAATAGAAATATAGAATAGAATAAGAAATATAGAATGGAAAAATAGAATAGGAAAAATAGAATAGAATAGAAAAGAAATATAGAATAGGGTAGAACAGGACAGGACCTTGGAGGTCTTCTAGTCCAGCCCCCTACTCAAGCAGGAGAACCTATACCAGTGGTGGCGAACCTGTGGCATGGGTGCCAGAGGCGGCACTCAGAGCCCTCTCGGTGGGCACGCGCGCCCCAGTCCTGGGCCTTCAGCTGGCTTTTATAAAATCTTTTCGCTTTAGGCCTCCGCCACCATGTGGAAAAAAAAAAAAGAAGGTTCAATCAATCAGTCAATTTCAACTTCTCGCGGGGAAAAAAAAAGATCTTGCAAAGTTGGAATTGATTGGTTGAACCTTTTTAGTCCCACCCAGTCTGCCGTTACCACCGCAGCCACGCCCACCCAATGGGCCATGCGCACCCAGCACCCGACCATGCATAAGTGGGTTTTGGGTTGCTGTTTGGGCACTCGGTCTCTAAAAGGTTCGCCATCACTGACCTATAGTATACCATCTCAGCCAGGTGAATCTCTAGTTGGTTCTTAAAACATTTCCAGCGATGGAGCGCCCACGATTTCTGGAGGCCAGCTGTTCCACTGGTTAATTGTCCTCACTGTCAGGAAGTTTCTCCTTAGTTCTAGGTTGCTACTAGGTTACTACTATTGACCCAGGTACCCAATTCTGGGAGTTGAAGTCCGCAAGTCATGAAGGGGCCATAGTTCCCCCATGCTGGCTCAGGAATTCTGGGAGTTGAAGTCCACGAGTCATGAAGGGCCATAGTTCCCCCATGCTGGCTGAGGAATTCTGGGAGTTGAAGTCCACAAGTCATGAAGGGGCCATAGATTCCCCCATGCTGGCTGAGGAATTCTGGGAGTTGAAGTCCACGAGTCATGAAGGGGCCACAGTTCCCTCATGCTGGCTGAGGAATTCTGGGAGTTGAAGTCCACGAGTCATGAAGGGGCCACAGTTCCCCCATGCTGGCTCAGGAATTCTGGGAGTTGAAGTCCACAAGTCATGAAGGGGCCACAGTTCCCTCATGCTGGCTGAGGAATTCTGGGAGTTGAAGTCCAAGTCATGAAGGGGCCACAGTTCCCTCATGCTGGCTGAGGAATTCTGGGAGTTGAAGTCCACAAGTCATGAAGGGCCACAGTTCCCCCATGCTGGCTGAGGAATTCTGGGAGTTGAAGTCCACGAGTCTGATGCTGGCTCAGAGCCACGAGTCATGAAGGGGCCACAGTTCCCCCATGCTGGCTCAGGAATTCTGGGAGTTGAAGTCCAGTCATGAAGGGGCCACAGTTCCCCCATGCTGGGAATTCTGGGAGGAAGTCCACGAGTCATGTCCCCCATGCTGGCTGAGGAATTCTGGGAGTTGAAGTCCACAAGTCATGAAGGGGCCACAGTTCCCTCATGCTGGCTGAGGAATTCTGGGAGTTGAAGTCCACAAGTCATGAAGGGGCCACAGTTCCCCCATGCTGGCTGAGGAATTCTGGGAGTTGAAGTCCACGAGTCATGAAGGGGCCACAGTTCCCTCATGCTGGCTGAGGAATTCTGGGAGTTGAAGTCCACAAGTCATGAAGGGGCCACAGTTCCCTCATGCTGGCTGAGGAATTCTGGGAGTTGAAGTCCACGAGTCATAAAAGAACCAGGGTTGCCTACCCCTGGCTTAACGGATGTTTTGTAGACAATGTGCTTTGTCAACAACACGCTATAGGTTTTATTTGGTGTGTTTTTCCTTTCCAGATGTAAACTCATTCCAGCAAACCACAAAATGGATCGATGATGTCAGAACGGAAAGGGGGAGTGATGTCATCATCATGCTTGTAGGAAACAAAACAGATCTAGCAGACAAGAGGTAAGGAGAGTATCTCTGCCCTCTTTCTAGAGTCTCAACATCTTTTCTACAGCCTGGCGACCAAAACTGGAGACAGCATTCCCAGTGTGGCCTTACCAAGGCCTTGTCAAGTGGTATTAAAGTATGAACTCGGAGAATGTGTAGATGTGGCAATAGGGCTCCGTTTATTTTATTTAGAGCAGTGGTTCTCAACCTTTTTAATGCCACGACCCCCCAACCGGTCGTAAGTCGAGGACTACTCAACGGGTCGTAAGTCGAGGACTACTCAACTGGTGCAGCCCCGTTTGCAGAATGGGACTTTTGGCGGGCTCAGCAGGGCAGAGACAGCCTGGACAATTCCTATTGGCTTTGGAAAGCCAATAGAATTAGACTCTATTCAAGAGAATCTCTTCTATTGGCTTTCAAAAGCCAATAGAATAAAAGGGAGTAACACAGCTAAGGAAAAGGGGGGAAAAAATGGCGGACTGCGTTGTTTGGCGACCCCCGTGAAATGGTCGTTCGATCCCAAATGGGGTCCCGACCGACAGGCTGAGAACCCCTGCGTTAGAGGTTGCTCCGGGGTTATTGGTTTTTTTTTTAACACCTGTGCATCCATTGAGTGTTGGGATGCCCGCCTGCAATCTTTCCTGCTAAACTGCTTAATTTTTATTCCTCACCATTTAAACAGCATTTTCATGCGCTTGTCTTCTCCACTCCCCCTCCCTACAAATTAGCCCTTGGACTTTGCTTTGTAAATTACCATGTAAATAAAAGCGTAAGCAGGAGCCCCACTAATTCATGGGGGTTTGTTCCTTGAAGCCTCTAAGACGGGTCTTCAAACTTGGGCCTTTGATGACTTGTGGACTTCAACTCCCAGAATTCCAGACAGGCACGCTGGCTGAGGAATTCTGGGAGTTGAAGTCCACAAGTGATGAAGGGGCCATAGTTTCCCCATGCTGGCTGAGGAATTCTGGGAGTTGAAGTCCACGAGTCATGAAGGGGCCATAGTTCCCCCATGCTGGCTGAGGAATTCTGGGAGTTGAAGTCCACCAGTCATGAAGGGGCCATAGTTTCCCCATGCTGGCTGAGGAATTCTGGGAGTTGAAGTCCACAAGTCTTCAAAGGGCCAAGTTTGAAGACTCCTGATCTAAGCTGTAGAACTGTAACCGTTCTGAAACTGTTTTTCTCCTTTGTACATAAAAGGAGCGCAATTCTTAGAGGAAGCTGCCCTTCCCTTACTACGATTCTCCTCCTTTCTTTTCCAGGCAAGTATCTATTGAGGAAGGGGAAAGGAAAGCCAAAGAGCTGAACGTGATGTTCATTGAGACCAGCGCAAAGGCCGGATACAATGTAAAACAAGTGAGTAATCAGGAGCTGCAGGTCCGTAACGTTTTCAACCGCAGGGGTCTCCATGGCTGGCTGAGGAATTCTGGGAGTGGAAGTCCACCAGTCATCCAAGGGCCACATCTGAAGACCCCTGGCCTAGGCCTTCCATTCAAGCCAATGCTTTTTATTGGGCGCAGATGTTTTGGAAAAGCCTCAGTGCAGTTCTGCTCCCCCTTAACATAAAAATGTGGAGAATGAAAATGCAGTAGATTGTCCTGCTGCTCTTCTATTGATCCCTCTTGATTTTTTTCCCCCCTTCTTTCTTTCTTGATTTTTCTCCTTCAGCTTTTCCGACGTGTGGCTGCTGCTTTGCCCGGCATGGAGAGCACGCAGGACAAAAGCAGGGAAGACAGTATCCTTTGGTCTACCATCTTTGGTGGAGGGGAGCAATCTAGTCATCGGGGTTGAGGCTTACGGGGGGCGGGATGAGTGCAGCAGGCAGAGGGGTATGAGGACAGCTGAACAGCATATTGTAAAAAATAAATAAATTGCAGGATGCTTTGGCCACTCAGGCCCCTCCTCCTCCTCCTCCCTTCTAGCACTGATGATGTTCCCTAGTTGGGTCATGAAATGTCTGCAAAAAAACAGCCAAGCTCAGAAAGCACCAAGGACCCCACAGTCTTTCTTTCTTTCTTTCTTTCTTTCTTTCTTTCTTTCTTTCTTTCTTTCTTTCTTTCTTTCTTTCTTTCTTTCTTTCTTTCTTTCTTTCTTTCTTTCTTTCTTTCTTTCTTTCTTTCTTTCTTTCTTTCTTTCTTTCTTTCTTTCTTTCTTTCTTTCTTTCTTTCTTTCTTTCTTTCTTTCTTTCTTTCTTTCTTTCTTTCTTTCTTTCTTTCTTTCTTTCTTTCCAGCAGGGCTTTTCAACCTTTTCACCCATTGTGCCACTTTTAGGATATGGCAATATCCGAGTACCACCAGTCGCCTAGCATAGTGTGTCTAAAACTTGATGATCAAAAAAGGGGGGGGGAGTGATAAAGTACAGGTAGTCCTCGACTTACAACAGTTCACTTAATGACTGTTCGAAGTTACAATGGCACTGAAAAAAGTGCCCCCCAAACAACAGCTGAGCAAGACGCCTGCCTGCCCGGTGGCGCTCTTCCTCCTGTCCGAGGTTTTCATTGTTGTGAGCATTTCTGTTGAGGTTTGGCAGCGGGGGTGGGATGGGGGGTGTTTGGTTTTTATTCCCCCCCCCCCCGTCTGCTGGGTGGTTGCAGCAGGTTTTGGTCACTTCCCATAACCCTGGGACACTGTGACCGTCATAAATATGAATCAGTAGCCAAGCATCTGAATGTAAATCACAAGACCCTGGAGAGGCTGCAACATTCCAGCTGATCGGCGCTTCTTCTGGGCTCAGCAGAAGCGCCAGGATCAGCGCCGAGCTCCAGCTGGAGCCTGGCGCTGATCCTGGCACTTCCGCTCAGCCCCGACAGCCCTGCAGCTCCAGCCGTCTCTCGCTCAGGCTTGTGCGGTGCTGCCCCCGGTTCAGCTCATTCCCCTCCCCACTACTACTATTCTAGGATGGCCGCGTACCCCCTGCCAGGTGCCAATGTACCACAGGTGGTACCCATACCCCTGGTTGAAAAGCCCTGCCCTAAATGGGTCCTGAAACATCTGCAGGAAAACAGCTCAGAGAGATCACCAAGCCCGCCCCCCATATGCCAGGCCCTTTCCATGAAACCGGAGCTGAGATGCCGTTTTGCCTTTCCGTTTTCCTTAACCTCTCCCCCCCCCCCCAGTGATTGACATCAAACTCGAAAAGCCTCAAGAGCAAGCAGTCAGCGAAGGAGGCTGCTCCTGCTAATAGTGTGTTGGGTTGTTTTGTTTTGTTTTGTTGCTCTGTTTCGTTTTTTCTTCCTCCTCAAACCATCACTGGCTTCTCCTGCCCCCCCCCTTCCTTTCCTCCCTCCCTTCCTCCCGGGGCGACAGCCGTGTGGACGAATTGCCTTGCCTCCTTCTTCTTCTCCCCACTAACCCCAGCACGGGACCCTCATCGTTGCCTGTCGTCTGGTGAAGGTGCTCTGTTTAGCTTCACAAGCACAAAAGTCGGTGTCTTCATCACATGAGATACAGGGGTTCTCAACCTTGGCCACTTTAAGACTTGTGGACTTCAACTCCCAGAATTCCTCAGCCAGCAAAGCTGGCTGAGGAATTCTGGGAGTTGAAGTCCACAAGTCTTAAAGTGGCCACGGTTGAGAACCCCTGCATTAGAAGGAAAAAGGGGCTGGGGAAAAAAAAACAGCCCAGAGCAGCCCTACACGTCTCCCAGTAGTCCTAGAAAAGGTGGGGACAACTTTGTTAAGGCCCCGTCGTTTTGTTTTGTTTGGTTTTTTTTTTTAAATGTAAAACATTGCACTTGTCAAATGGATGGAAACTGGGGGGCTAAGGAGGGCGTTGGGTTGCGCAGGGTAGGAAGACGCCGTTGCAAGGCCGTAGTAGAGCGTTAACGGAAGGGCAAAAACCTTAAGACTGCGCTGCCTTTTCGGCCCCACATTTGCTTTTGGGAAAAGCAAAATCCGACGCCGGCGTCTTAAATCGTGCTTTCCGCTGCGTCCTTTGCTTCCGTGCTTTCGTAGCGCGAACAAACCGGCCTCGGCTAAAGAGGCATGGATTCCAGATCTCTTCGCGACGCCCATCTGGGGTGTTTTAAAAAAAAAAAAACCTCGACAACCTCGTAGTTCCTTGGAGAGAAAGCCCAAAGTACGGTTAAACTGGCTTGGCAGTGCAGTCTCTTGTTTATTGCGTTTCTGGCAATATTTTCAGAACCGGCACCCGCAGGTGGAGTCGCGTTTCTAAAACAGAGGCAGGGTACACTACTACTTGTAAGTTCTCCGTAAAGCGAGGAAGGACGAACGGGACAAATGAGGCCGTTTGGCAGGCTCAAAGACGCAACTGGAGACAGGGACAGTTATAAAAGTCCATTTTTAAAAGGATGAATGGGGGGTGGTGGCATAAGATGGAAAGAAAGCTTTCAATTATGCAGACTGTTGCCTTTACTTTCAGCATGTATTTTTTTTTTTAAACATTCGGTCTCGAATCTACGTTATGTGCTACTTAATTTGGTGAAGTAACTGTTTGTTTAGCATTATGTTTAACTTAACTATCATTAACGGTGATTCCCTTCCCTATTTATTTTCTCTGCTTTAAATTGGTTCACCTTCAAGAAGGTCGTTCCTTTTTCTTTTCTTCCTTTCTTTTCTTCCTTTTCTTCTCTTTCTTTTTCTTTCCTCCTTTATTTTTCTTTCTTTCTTCCCTTCTTTCTTTTTCTCTTCCTTCCTTCTCCTTTTTCCTCCCTCCCTCACTTCCATCCTTCCTTTTCCTTTTTCCTCCCTCTCTCCATTCTTTCATTCCTTCCTTCTCTCTGTCTCTCCCTTTCCTTCCTTTCCCTTCCTCCCTTCTTTCCTTCCTCCCTCCCTTCTCTCTTTTTCTTTCCTTCTCCTTTTTCCTCACTTCCATCCTTCCTTCCTTTTCCTACTTTTTCTTACCTCTCTCCATTCTTTCGTTCCTTCTCTCTGTCCCTTCCTTTCCCTTCTTTCTTTCCTTCCTTTTTCTTTCTTTATTCCCTCCCTCCCTCCCTTCTTTCTTTCTTTTTTCTTTCTCTCTCTCTCTCTCTCTCTCTCTTTTTTTTTTTCCATTTAAAGCTTTGGCAATGTTGCAAGATTCCACGATTTAGGAAACACAGACATGCATATTCTGTCTCACACACGCGCGTGCACACACACACACACACACTGCAGAAGTGCACTCTTAATCTGTACTAGTCATTGTGAAGTTGCTACAGAAGTTTAACACAATTGTAAATACATTGTTTGCCAGGAGAGTTTGTGGAAGGGAGGGGCGATGTGGGAAACGCTCCCTTTTTTCCTTGCAAGGGCTGGTTTTTGAAAAGGCCTCAACGCAAAATCCCCCCCTTTGCATTGTTGGAGTCAAAAATGGCAAATTCATTACTTTTGACTTGAGTTTCCAGTGATTTTGCATAATCTCATGTTAAAAGGGCAGATTGACCTACAGATGCTTTTAATGCAATATTGAAGAGGTGATTTTTTTTTCCTTTTTTTTTTTTTTTTTTCTTCTTCAAAGTAGCATGTCTAGAAATAAATGTTTAAACTACGGCAACCGACGATGAACTTAATCCTGAAAAGAAACTCAAAGAGACTGGGCTACTTTCTTTTCTTTTTTCTTTTCTCTTCCTTGTATCGTCGTTACTCTACGTGTGCGGAAATTTAAAGAAAAGAATCCCATCTCGCTGCTTTTGAATAACTTTTTGAGTTTTCCGTGGTTTGGGTTCTTTGAGCAACTAAATGTGTACACGGGTTAGATTTTTAAAACATGCACAGAATTTTTTGCTTCCAATAAAGTATCTAATCAAAACACTATGAGAGAAAAAAAAGGTTTCTCCCTTTTGTTTCTTTTGCTTCTGCTCCCTTCCCCATCGCCGGCCTCGGTAGTTCTGGCTTGTTTCGAACTCGGCGCCGGAGCTGAGCATCACACTCATTCTTTGGCCTCCAAACAGGAAGCGAGTGTGCAACTCCCAAGTAGGACTGGAGTTTCCCAACCTTGCCCACATTAAGGTGGGCAGACTTCAATTTGCACAATTCCCCAGCCAGCATAGTCGTTAAGCGATTCGCTTAACCAACATTAAAAAATGGGGTCTTGATTCTGCTTACGACCGCAACGACAGAAATCCCGGTCCTAATTGTGGTGGTTGAGGACTACTTGTAAAGCTGCTTCACAAAAAAACGGGTACAGTGAAGCGTGAACTAGATTTGCAGCTATTCAGATTGTTGGGTGGGCAGGTACAAAAACAGCCTGGGAAATGGGTCCCTTTCAATCGGTCTGATTTACCACCAGCCTATCAATTACTTAGGCGAGGGCTGGGCAGCACAAGGAAACAACAAGACAACCGCTTAGCCAACACCCCAAACAACATCTAAAAAGCCACATGCAACCTGGCATCCGTATAAATATCACACGCACAACAGCCCAGAGCACGCAGCTCAGAAGACAAAACCTTTGGTCCCGGTGACCCACCCAGATTGGCTCCTGCAGCGTTATCCCGGGACACGTAGATTCGCCTTCGGTCGTGAACCAGATTTTAGCTAGTTCCTTTTTTTTTTTTTTTCTTGTGTCATCTTTGTTTTGCTCCTTTTCATTCCTTTTCTGCATTTTGCACAGCAATACTTTTTTGCGACCAGGAATTTGTGTGTGTGTGCGTGTGTGCATTATCCACCATTTGTAAATTACAGTTTCAAGAGTGGCTTTTTCACATTACTTGAGCAGCAGACCTGTTGACTGAATGCAGCAGCTTTATGAACTTGTCAGAAGGCCAAATGTTATTATTTAGTCTGCTCTTTACATACCGAGAGAGGAACTAATTGGAAAATAAAGACAATTTCCTTTCTTCTCTTAAACACACGTGTAAATGACAATCCTGGTACTTCCCCCCCCCCACTAGGCTCTCATGCTCCCTAATTAAGTTAAATGCAGATGAACTTTAAATACAATTTGGGGGGGGGAGCAGAGGCCCAAGGCTAAAACAGCCTTTTGAATTTAGGAGCCTGCATCGCCTTAATAATGCTTATTTACTCTCTTGAGAAAAAAGTGGATATTCAACAGGTACTGCTTAGCAGCTGATTGGCACCCAGCCAAGCCAGAAGGGAAAAAAACTACAAGATTGCAATCTGATGTTGCGGAAGAACAGAAAAAAAAAAACGGCCACTGCGTTGAAGAGCATTTTGTTTTTAATCCTTAAATAGCTTTTCTTCCAAAATATACATTATTATTATTATTAGTGCTTCAAGCGTTTGATGGAATCAAACGGCAAACTAACAGACACAACTGGGATGTGAATGGCTGCGTGGTGCGTAGAGAAGCGAAGCGAGGTGTGTTTTTGACATGACTACAGGGGGAGGCCCGGCTGGCCCGCTTCCTGGCTTGCTTGGGAAGCCCCCAACCCACCATCTGAAGCAGACTCTGCCACAGGGATGGGATACCCCCAGGAAAGCCACTACTGGCTAAAAAAAAAAAAAAAACGACCATCGAGAACCGTGGGCACCGCTTCCCGGTGGCTTCTTTTAAAACGCGAGCCGTTCTCTTCCAATGCAAATCGACTAAATTTCGTGTGCAACTCTCATTCCGCGGTGTGCATGGATATGTGCAGGAAATGCTCCCTCTGAACAACTAGGGAATTTATATATATATTTAATTTAATTCTTTAACTCTTTGTCAGAAAAAGAAATTTGGATATATATATTTGCAGGATTCAATTTTGCCTTTGGTAAGATTTTTTTTCTTTTTTTCCCTAAAAAAAAAAAAAAATTGGTCACTGCTGTAAAGAAAGCGATCAGTTCATCTGGAAACGAGGGTAAAGTAACCCTTACAACCAGGAGCGGTCTGGCAAGAACAATTAACCAGTGGAACCACCTGCCTCCAGAAGCGGCGACTGCTCCAACACTGGAAGTTTTTAAGGAGAGACTGGACAGCCATTTGTTCGAAATGGTATAGGGTTTCCTGCCTGAGCAGGGGATTGGACTAGGTGACCTCCAAGGTCCCTTCCAACTTTATTATTATAAGTATTTACTGGGGTGTGACTCAACAGCCATGTTACTGCTAGCAATTGTGACTTTTGTGCAGGTTTTTTTTGGCCCAGAAATCTCTCTTGTGCTGACCTGGCAGTGTTTCAGTCATTTAGCTGCGCCAACCCCACAAAAGGGTCTGTGCGAAGGCTGTGTTTGCACGCCTTCCAAGGATGAACCAGCACCTGGTGGGGGGGAGAGATCTTTGTGGCAGACACGGGAATAACCCTAAGTAAAATTTTGGTGTGTGAGAAATGAAAGTTTTCCCCCTCATGTTTACCCACAATTCTTTCTCAAAAGCGCTCTGGGAAGGATCTACTTTGCTCCTGCACAGAGATGAACCTGTTTTAGAAAAAGGATGACTTTATGCATCCACAAACAGCTCTGCGAGATTCCCGTCTGCTTGGAAACCAATTGGAGATCGCTCCGGTTTTGCACCATATTTCTCCAAGCCTTCCTATGGTAGTGTGCGCCCATTATCCCCAGCCAACGGGGCCAAGAAGGCAGGACAGGAGCTGCGGTAGCTACCTCAGGGACCAGGATGCAGTAACTTCACATAACTTGGAGATCTTCTAACATAAGAAGTGGAGGAAATAGGAAGGTGGCCAAAAAGGGCGGGCAAAGGAATTGTACCCACAGGGTATGGTGTAAAAAAAATAATAATGATCCAATATTCCGCTCAGCGATGCAGTTAAATCTGGGTTGTTTTTTTTTTTGTAATGTGCAGCCACAAAAACTTAACACAATTTCCTATGGTGTAAAAAAAATAATAATGATCCAATATTCCACTCAGTGATGCAGTTAAATCTGGGGTTTTTTTTGTAATGTGCAGCCACAAAAAACTTAACGAAGTTTCTGTTGCACCGTTGTGGCCCCATCTGGACTTTTCTGATCGTACCCTGGTGGAAAGGGGGGGCACTACCCTGGAGAAGAACAGCCAAGACACATGATCTGAGCAGGAAGACGCTGAGAACGCGCCACTGCAAGGACATTGCGCGAGGCACCATTTCGCTTGCGAATCCAACAAGCCGGACATCCCAAAGGGAAGCCGCATACACATACACAACACGCCGAACCTGGTTACGGAAAACCCATTAAGACTCAGCCCTGAGCTGCAAAAAAAAAAAGACTTAACTGGGATTCCACCTTGGCTAAGGAGGTTACAGGAACATGGCTAGTGCAGAAAGGGATTTTATGAGAGTGTCTAGAATGGATTTCCAAGCTGGTGGTTCCTCCTACATAACCCTACTACAGCTTTCTCAAACCAAATGCTGACCTATAGACTTGGGGCAGGGTCAGCGGCCTCCTAACTAGCCCTAGATCTGCCCCCGGGAGTCTTAAAATGAACCAGGGAGTGCCTAGCAGTGCAACATGGGAACTAAGTTACTGTTAACACAGCAGGTGCTTAAAAACCTTCCCAAAAATCTTGCAGAATTCCCGGGAGTCTATGTGCCAAGAGACCCGTCGGTTTTTCCCTCTTTGCTTTCGAAATAGGGGGGGTCTTGCCTGGAAAAAAGAAGGGGAGGGGGTCAGCCAGGCCGGGCTGGCCGGTCTACCAAAAAGCAGAGGGTCAGAACCAACAAGGCATCCACATGAACGAGCCCAAAGCGGCGCCCGTGGCTGCTCCGGCGAGGAGGCCCAGGGCCATCTGATCTCCGGACACGCGGTGGGGGTCTTCGCGGATGATGACGTGCGTCGTTCCAGGGGCTGCAAGGAAGGAAGGGAGGAGACACCCGTCAGCGGCAAAGCCGAAGCACGCCTGGAGAGGTTGTGACTGGAAATTCGCGAATGGTCCAAAAATTGGAACAGGTTATCCACTTAACGACCACAATTGAGCTCAACATTCCTCTCGTTAAGTGAGGCTTTCGTGAAGCGAAATTGGCCCCGTTTTATGACTTTCCTTGCCATGGCTGCTAAGTGAATCTCTGCAGTTGTTACGTTAGTAATGTGGTTGTGATGCGAGTCAGGCTCCTCCACTGACCACTGCTTGTCAGAACGTCGCCAAAGTGGATCGTGTGACCCCGGGACACGGCGACCGTCGTAAATAGGAACTAGTTGCCAGCCTCTGAATTTTGATCGCGTGACCGCAGGGAGGCTGCGACGGTGGTTACTGCAAAAAAGTCACTTTTTCCAGTGCTGTTGTAACTTTGAACAGTCGCTAAATGAACCGTTGCAAATGGAGGACGGCCTGTAATAGATTTTTTTTAATCTTTTGTTGTATCTACGGCAATACCTGATTCGGCCACTAGATGTCCCTCCAGCCCTCAAGAAGTGTTCAGCCCAAAGGAATGGCTGATTTGGGAGAAATTGGAATTTAATCCAGGCCAGCAACTTCTCAGTGAATTTAAGGTGGATGGACTTCAGCTCCCAGAATTCTGTGCGTTTCTTAGTCCTACACTAGGGAATTCTGGGAGTTGAAGCCCGCAAGTCTTAAAGCAGTGGTTCTCAACCTGTGGGTCGGGACCCCATTTGGGGTCGAATGACCATTTCACAGGGGTTGCCAAACAACGCAGTCCGCCATTTTTTTCCCCCTTTTCCTTAGCTGTGCTACTCCCTTTTATTCTATTGGCTTTTGAAAGCCAATAGAAGAGACTCTCTTGAATAGAGTCTAATTCTATTAGCTTTCAAAAGCCAATAGGAATTGTCCAGGCTGTCTCTGCCCTGCTGAGCCCGCCAAAAATCCCATTCTGCAAATGGTGCTGTACCAGTTGAGTAGTCCTCGACTTACGACGGGTTGGGGGTCGCGGCATTAAAAAGGTTGAGAACCACTGTCTTAAAGGTTGCCAGGTTTGGAGACCCTTGTCCTCCAGGCCACCACTCCTCAGTGAATTTAAGGTGGATGGACTTCAACTCCCAGAATTCTGTGTATTTCTCAGGCTAGGGAATTCTGGGAGTTGAAGTCCACAACTCTTAAACTTGCCAGGTTTGGAGACCCTTGACCCTTGTGCATCAGCTGAAGAAGGTAACATTGGTCCAGACAGCTGGGCAAAACACCGTTTCTCTGGCCCTACCATCTGAAATGGTCATGGTTTCCTGCCTGAGGCAGGGGGTTGGACTAGAAGACCTCCAAGTTCCCTTCCGACTCTTGTGATTCTGTAAGAGCCGAGGTGGCGCAGCAATTAGAGTGCAGTACTGCAGGCCACTTTAGCTGACTGTGTTCAGCAGGTCAGTGGTTCAAATCTCACCGGCTCAAGGTTGACTCAGCCTTCCATCCTTCCGGGGTAGGTAAAATGAGGACACAGATTGTTGGAGGCAATGTAAATATATATATATACATTGCTTACTGGTGTACACCGCTTAGAGAGTGCTTGCACTTAAAGCGGTATATAAGTCTCATAAATAAATAAAATAAATAATGTTTGTATTCTCACAAAGATAATGAAATTTAAGGAGAACTTTCCTGACAGCGAGAACAGTCAGTGGAACGAATTGCCTTTTGTGGGCTGTGAATGCGCCCGCCCTGGTGGTCTTGAAGAAGAGACTGGACAGCCATTTGTCTGAAAAAGCAATGGGTCTCCTGCTTGGGCGGGAGGTGGGACTAGATGACCTCTCGGGTCCCTTCCAATTCTGTGAGTCTGTTAAACAGCCGTGTTTGGAGGGCCGGCAGTGCCAATGAATAAGGGCTGATAAGGGCTCCAGGCTGGAATCCAGGAGACGGTGAGTTCTAGCGCTGTGAGCTCTAACAACGGTGACAAGAAAGCTCGTAAAAATAGGCAAAGCCTGCTTAACGCCTGTCTCGCTTAGCAACGGGAATCTTGGGCTCAGGTATGGCCGTTAAGTCAAGGACTACCTGTAATCAGGATTCCTTCTTTAAACGTCACCTGGGAGATGGCGCTGGCAGACTTACCGATATACGAGTGGCCGTGATAATCCGAGCTGACGTACATCGCCTGGTACGAGTCCAGGGGTACCGTTTGGTAGTAGTCATCGTAAGGGTCGTAGAGGTGAACCTGGAAGACAGAAGGACACCCCAAGGTCGGCACTTGAGAGCCCAAAGCGACTCTGGTCCCTTTGGGCTGCGGACACAGAATTGGGAGGGATCGTAGAGGTCATCAAGTCCAGCCCTCTTCCCAGCAGGTTTCTCTACTAAACCCATCCCTGTCAGCCCTTCACAAGATAAACCAAACTTGCAAACCAAAGACAGACCGGTTAATGGCCCCTGAAGAAGGCGGGGCAAGAAACAACGGATGGAAACTGAACAAAGAGAGAAGCAACCTAGAACTAAGGAGAAAATTCCTGATAGTGAGAACAATTAACCAGTGGAACAGCTTGCCACCAGCACCAGTGGCTGCTCCATCGTTGGGAGATTTTTAAGACGAGATTGGACAACCATTTGTCTGAAATGGTATAGGGTTTCCTGCCTGAGCAGAGGGTTGGACTAGATCAGGGATAGGCAACCTTGACTCTTTTATGACTCGTGGACTTCAACTCCCAGAATTCCTGAGCCAGCCATGCTGAGGGGAAAGGGAGAGGTTTCCAAGCTGAGCCACGCATTCTGGGGGTTGAAGTCCACGAGTCATGAAGGGGCCATAGTTCCCCCATGCTGGCTCAGGAATTCTGGGAGTTGAAGTCCATGAGTCATAAAAGAGCTGAGGTTGCCTACCCCTGTCCTAACCCCACAGGGACACCTGGCTGGCCACCCAATATTTGTTTTTCTTTCCAATGTCTCTTTATAAAATCGATCCAGCCTTCGAGACATTTCTGCAACCTTATAAGAACTGCATTTATCGATCTGTAACCAGACAGGGCTGAAAATCAGAAAGTGACTCGGCAAAATTCACAGGCTGGCTGGGGAAAGGTGAGAGGTGAAGTTCTCCTCCTCCTCCTCCTCCTCCTCCTCCTCCTCCTCCTCTCCACAATCCCCACTCCCTTCTAGCACTGATGAAGTTAGTTAATTGGGTCCTGAAACTTTTGCAAGAAAACAAAGAGAGCACCAAGAACCCCCATAGTCGTCGTCCTCCTCCTCCTCCTCCCCACAAACCCCACTCCCCTCTAGCACTGATAAAGTTATCTAGTTGGGTCTTGAAACGTCTGCAAGAAAGCAACCAAGCTCAGAGAGCACCAAGGACCCCACAGTTCTCCTCCTCCTGCTCCTCCTCCTCTCCACAAACCCCATTCCCTTCTAGCTCTGACAATGTTACCTAGTTGGATAATAAAATGTCTGCAAGAAAACAACCAAACTCAGACAGCACAGAGGACCCCACAGTCCTCCTCCTCTTCCTCCTTCTTCTCCTCTCTCCAAACTCTCCTAGCCCTGATGATGTTACCTAGTTGGGTCATGAAACATCTACACCAGTGGTTCTCAACCTTTCTAATGCCACGACCCCATAATACAGTTCCCCATGTTGTGGTGACTCCCAACCACTTATATATCACCGGGTGCCAGGGGCGTGGCCAAAGAAAAGGGGGGAAAATGGCGGACAGCCTTGTTTGGCGACCCCCGTGAAATGGTCGTTCGACCCCAAATGGAGTCCCGACCCACAGGTTGAGAACCACTGTTCTACAAGAAAGCAATCCAGCTCAGAGAGCACCGAGGGCCCCACAGTTCAACCCTGAGCTACTGTCAAAGCATTCAATTATGTTCAGCTACCCCCCCCCCCACTTCAAGACAGGGCCGTAAAGGAGACTCACCTGGGTTGCTTTCGCTTCCAAAATGGCCATCTTCCAGGCTCTGTGGACAAAAACAGGAAAATCAGCTCAGCCCGAAGGGAAAGGAGAGATTTTAACAGCCCTCTCCTATCAGTGGCTTTCCTACAATTCCCTGCAAGAATAAACTATGGAAATCTTGCAGGGGGTTCCTGCACGGTCCAAGACCAGCAACTGACTAAATGTTTAGGACGGTTGCAGTGTCTCTGAGGTCACGCGATCCCCTTTTGCGACCTTCTGACACAGAGGCCCCCCAACTTTTGGGGCACCAGGGACCGGTTCCGTGGAGAGAGGTTTTTCCGTGGACCGGAGGGGGCGTGGTTTCGTGTGCTGCCTGCATCCCGCGGATGGGGCTTGGCTTGTTTGTGCGGACCGGTTGCTGGTGTGTGCCACGGCACGGTACCGGTCCACATACAGGGGCTTGGGGACCCCTGTTCTAACAAGCCAAGTCAATGGGGGGAGCCAGTTTCATTTAACAACCGTGTTACTAACTTCACCACTCCACTGATTCACTTAGCAACGGGGGCAAGGGAGGTTGTAAAATGGGGCAAAACTCACTTAACAACGGTCTGACCTAGCGACAGAAATTTGGGGCTCAAGTGTGATTCTAAGTCGAGGACTCTGGAACTTGAATTAATAATTAATAATAATAAATAAATAATAATTATTAATTATAATAATAAAAGTCGGAAGGGATCTTGGAGGTCATCTAGTCCAACCCCCTGCTCAGGCAGGAAACTCTATACCATTTCAGACAAATGACTGTAAAATCTCTTCTTAAAAGGGAGGGAGGGAGGGAGGGAGGGAGGGAGGGAGGAAGGAAGGAAGGAAGGATGGATAACAGAATAACAGATGGAAGGGACCTTGGAGGTCTTCTAGTCCAGCCCCCTGTACTATTTCAGACAAGTGGCTGTCCGGTCTTTTCTTAAAAACCTCCACTGTTAGAGCATTTACTACTTCTGGTGGCAAGGAGTTCCATTGGTTAACTGTTTTCTCTTTCAGGAAATGCCTCCTTAGTTCCAGGTTGCTTCTCTCCTTGATGAGTTTCCATCCGTTCCTTCTTGTCCTGCCTTCAGGCGCTTTGGAGAACAGGCTGACCCCCTCTTCTTTGTGAACATCAACTCCCAGAATTCCCCTGCCGGCCTTGATGGAGGGAGCAAGCGAGAATCTGAGCTGGAAAACTCCTGGGCTTGTGACGGTTTCCATTAGGGTGGAAAGTCTTCCTCAAACCAGACCGGGTGCTTTGCCAAAGGGGAGGTGGGAACATAAGAATCTTTCTATCAACTTTTGTTCCTCTCCGTGACCTAGCTGGGACCTCTCCTACCTAGAGGGAGATTATCTTAATCCTGGCTCCTTCGTGACCTCAAGGTCACCTGTGGCTGTCAAACCATCTTGAGTCATAGGTCTAAGCAGGATTAGCCGGGATGTCAGCCTGCCATCTCCGGTTAGTCCTGGAGGGTGATCAGCATGCCAAGATCCCTTTAGCTGCAGAGACTAATGCGCTGAGGAAGCTCAGAAGAGACATTTAGAACTGAGAATAGAATAGAGCTGGAAGGGACCTTGGAGGTCTTCTAGTCCAGCCCCCTGTTCAAGCAGGAGAACTTATATACCAGTGGTTCTCAACCTATGGGTCGGGACCCCATTTGGGGTCGAACGACCCTTTCACGGGGATCGCCAAACAACGCAGTCTGCCATTTTTTCCCCCTTTTCCTTAGCTGTGCTGCTCCCTTTCATTCTATTGGCTTTTGAAAGCCAATAGAATAGACTCTCTGGAATAGAGTCGAATTCTATTGGCTTTCAAAAGCCAATAGGAATTGTCCAGGCTGTCTCTGCCCTGCTGAGCCCGCCCAAAATCCCAGTCTGCAAACGGTGCTGCACCAGTTGAGTAGTCCTCGACTTACGACCGGTTGAGTAGTCCTCGACTTACGACCGGTTGGGGGTCACGGCATTAAAAAGGTTGAGAACCACTGCTATATACCATCTCAGACAGGTGACTGTCCAGTCTCTTCTTAAAAACCTCCAGTGATGGAGCACCCACGATTTCTGGAGGCAAGTTATTCCACTGGTTAATTGTCTTCTGTGTAACAGTGTCTTCACTGTTAGGAAGTTTGTCCTTAATTCCAGGTTGCTTCTCTCCTTGATCAGTTTCCATCCCTTGTTTCTCGTCCTTCCCTCTGGTGCTTTGGAGAATAGTTTGACCCCCTCTTCTTTGGGGCAGCCCCCCAAATACTGGAATTCTGCTATTATGTCTCCCCTATTTCTTCTTTCTTTTAGACTATCCAGACCCAAGTCCTGCAGCCGTTCTTCCTATGTTTTAGTCTCCAGACCTTGGATCCTCTTAGTTGCTCTTCTCTGAACTTTTTCCAAACTCTCAACATCTTCTTTTGAACTCATCTGAAGTCATCCCCTCCTGGGCTAGTTGTCAGCTTTTCCAGGTTCAATCAGAGCTAAAGAAGCTTCTTGGATGAGAAGCGAACTGTCTTCAAAGGAAAAACAAGAAACACCGGTTGCCTCCTGAAAAAAAAAGCACCTTTGGGACATCTATGACATAATTTCCAGCCCGAATGAAACCAGAAACCGTGAACCCTCTTTTTCCCCTGTAAACATAACCCGGAACAACAAGATGAAAATTTTGCAAGAGTGTCTTCCCTGCAGAGAGCTTTGCATTCCCAACACAAGCTCCCCAAAGGTGCGGTCAGCGTAAACAACCAAATAGATAATTAAAATGAAAAGGAAGGAACCATACAGAGGTGGCCTTGAACGGTGAGACCGGCAGCCAATAAATTTGATGATAGGAATAACCGTAATCATAAGCGACCTTTCTTGATTTGGTTTTGAGACAAGGCAATATAGGACTGACAGGATAGAATTAACAGAGAGATGGAATCAGGTGAAGGGTTAATTCCACTTTACGAGGCTTTGGAAAGGCCACGCTTGGAATACGGCATCCAGTTTTGGGCCCCACGAGGTAAAAAAGATTTTGAGACTCTAGAAAGAGGGCAGAGAAGAGCAACAAAGATGATCAGGGGACTGGAGGCTAAAACATATGAGGAACGGTTGCTGGAATTGGGTATGTCTAGTTTAACGAAGAGAAGGACGAGAGAGGACATGGTGGTAGTGTTCCAGTAACTCAGGGGCTGTCCCAAAGAAGAGGGAGTCAAGCTCTTCTCCAAAGCGCCCGAAGGCAGGACAAGAAGCAACGGATGGAAACTCATCAAGGAGAGAAGCAACCTGGAACTAAGGAGAAACTTCCCGACAGTTAAAACAATTAATCAGTGGAACAACCTGCCTCCAGAAGCGGTGAATGCTCCAACACTGGAAGTTTTTAAGAAGAGACTGGACAGCCATTTGTCTGAAATGGTGTAGGGTTTCCTGCCTGAGCAGGGGGTTGGACTAGAAGACCTCCAAGGTCCCTCTCAACTCTCTTTCTTCTTCTTCTTCTTCTTCTTCTTCTTCTTCTTCTTCTTCTTCTTCTTCTTCTTCTTCTTCTTCTTCTTCTTCTTCTTCTTCTTCTTCTTCTTCTTCTTCTTCTTCTTCTTCTTCTTCCTCTTCCTCTTCCTCTTCCTCTTCCTCTTCTTCTCCTGCATTGAGCTTTTTAATCATAAACATTTCCTTTTGGGGGCATAAGAGACCGGATATTGAATCCTAGAGGGGCAATCATTTTTCCCTTCTCATTTTGCAGATGGGAAACTGAGGAACTGTTTTGCTTAAGAACCAGAACAAACAAACAGGAAGAGAGGAGGGCTATGTGGGGGCTATGTGGAGAACTAGATTGGTTTGGTGGTTAAGGTGCCAGACTAAAAAGCCAGGGGCTGTGAGTGCTAGCCCCGCTTTAAACATAAAAAGCTTCTGGGTGACTTTGGGCCAATCACCAGGAGACTGGGAGTTCTAGTCCCACCTTAGGAATGAAAGTGGCTGGGTGACATTGGGCCAATCACCAGGAGACGGTGAGTTATAGTTCCTCACTAGCCATGCAAGTCGGCTGGGTGACTTTGGGGTAATCACTAGGAGACGGTAAGTTCTAGTATCACCTTAGGCAAGAAAGCCGGCTGGGTCACTTTGGACCAATCACCAGGAGACGGTGAATTCTAGTTCCTCACTAGCCATGCAAGTCGTCTGGGTGATATTGGACCAATCACCAGGAGACAGTAAATTCTAGTCTAGTCCCACCTTAGGAATGAAAGTGGCTGGGTGACGTTGGGCCAATCACCAGGAGATTATGAGTTCTAATCCTGCCTTAGGCATGAAATCCAGCTAGATGACTTTGGGCCAATCACCAGGAGATGGTGAGTTCTAGTTCTGCCTTAGGCATGAAAGCCAGCTGGGTGGCTTTGAGCTAGTCATTCTCTCTCAACCCAACCTACTCAAAGAGTAGATGTGGTAAAAAAAATAGGAGGAAGCATATTAGTTATGTTTGGCACCTTAAGTTATATATAAAATCTAATCTTATATAAATAAAAATGTAAATGTTCATTTGTTCAAAATCTCAAATCTCCGAAAGTTCTTCACCGATTGCTTTGAAATTTTGACACAACGTTGTATTCGAATACGCGCGTGTTTTTATACACCTATATTATATAGATGTCACACTTGTGACAGGTAAAAACTTGCTTTTTTTGAAAAACAGCACCATCTGTTGGACGTAATCTCTATATCTGCACACACAGTGGAACAACAAAAAGTATTGTATACCCACAAGCATTGTGAAATTAAACATATTACAAACGTGCGCTTTCTCTTTTCTTTCTTTTCCATTTAACCCAGTGGTTCTCAACCTTTTTAATGCCGCGACCCCCAACCGGTCGTAAGTCGAGGACTACTCAACTGGTCGTAAATCGAAGACTACTCAACTGGTGCAGCACTGTTTGCAGAATGGGACTTTTGGCGGGCTCAGCAGGGCAGAGACAGCCTGGACAATTCCTATTGGCTTTTGAAAGCCAATAGAATTAGACTCTATTCAAGAGAGCCTATTCTATTGGCTTTCAGAAGCCAATAGAATAAAAGGGAGTAGCACAGCTAAGGAAAAGGGGAGAAAAAAATGGCGACTGCGTTGTTTGGCGACCCCCGTGAAATGATCGTTCGACCTCAAATGGGGTCCCGACCCACAGGTTGAGAACCACTATTTAACCACACTGAGCCACAGCAACGCGTGGCTGGGTACAGCTAGTCATAAATAAATAAAAACTAAAAAACACCATTTCCCATGACCGGTCCTTGGGTGTGGCCACTGCGTTGCAGATGGACCATGAGTGGTTTCAGAAATGTCAAGATTATATGACTGAAACCCTACCCATCACAAAAAGGGTCAGGGCTTCAGCTATCTTGATTTTTCTGTCCTCGCTTCCCACAACTTACAACGCATCGTCTTCGCTCTCAGCGCACAGCATGGTCTTGGGCCCAGCCCTTTGCACAACGCACAACAGGCACTCCCGGGTTTTCCCTTCCGGAGGCTGGATATCTATAAAGACAGGAAAGGAGACATAAGCAGAGAGCCGGCCGGCGTTTTTCTTTCTATCTCAATAATAGGTTTCTAGACCTCAAGGGGATCGTGGTAAACAAGACACTCCCCAGGACTTCCCTCCGAATCCTACCTGTTCTTCATTAAAGCTGGGTGGGAAATGCTGATCAAAACATGTCATAATATTATTACGAATAATATTTCATTTTCATTTCTGTGCCTGGGATCAACATCGGACTCCCAACAGACTCAGAATTAATTAGGCATAATTTTCATGCAGGTCCCTGATTAAAAAACTGCAGGAAACACCCTCAGGGCGACGGGGGGGGGGGGTTTGGACTAGATGACCTCCAAGGTCCCTTCCAACTTTATCATTATTATTATTATTATAAATACGAGCCAGTTGCCACGACCCTGGGACACTGCAACCATCATAAATGTGAGTCGGTGGCCGAGCATCCATTTTGATCACGTGACCCTGGGGACACTGCAACGGTCGTAAGTGTGAATAACGTTCATGTCCCTTTTTTCCAGTGCCCGTCGTGACTTTGGTCACTAAATGAACTGTTGAGGACTCCCTGCAGTTTTAAAAATAAAAGTTGCCGTCGTAAGATGGGTGGGTGTTTTTTTAAAGCAAAGAACGTCTTCCCGGCTAAATATCTCTGAAGCGATCCTAGTTGTCTGTTGCAAGCCAGGAGAGTCGCCGCAAAATTAGGACCTCGGGGGATCAGTTGTCAAAGTAACTCTTGAGTTGTGGAGTCACAGTGAAACAAACAGCAGGGGATTAGGCAGCCTTGGCGGATGTCCCAGGGGACACAACAAATCTCAAACAAAAGCTGCCATACTGACCCCGGAGGGCCAAAACCTTCGTCTGTGTGGTACACAACAACACAGAGGCTTGTTGCCTCCCAGGAAAAGATTCCAGGATGTTCGTTCAGAGAGGATGAAAAAACAAGTCGTGAGCTCTTTCCAAAATCCAGACGCCTGAAGATGTGGCAGGAGAGCAGTTTATAATAATAATAATAATAACAACAACAACAACAACAATAAAAAAAGTTGGGAGGGACCTTGGAGGTCATCTAGTCCAACCCCCTACTCAGGCAGGAAACCCTACACAATTTCAGACAAATGGCTCTCCAGTCTCTTCTTAAAAACTTCCAGTGTTGGAGCATTCACCGCTTCTGGAGGCAGGTGGTTCCACTGGTTAATTGTTCTAATTGTTTGCAAGGATGGTTTGCAGGAACGAGCTTGGGAGACAGGAGGCAGAACTGCAAGCTACACAACTGGCGGAGAAGAGGCAGCTGAGCCTGCAGCAGAAATGGAGGTGTGACAAAAAGGGACCCTCACTAGTGTGTCAAGCTGTAAAGGAGGGGGGGGTGAAATGTATTTTCAAATATACCCTCCAATCCTGGGTTGTATAAACAGAGGCACGGAATCAAGATCACGCGAGGTATTAGTACTGCTTTATAAAACCCTAGGGAGGCCACACCTAGAGTACTGCAGCCAGTGTTGGTCACCATGTCACAAAAAAGAGGTTGAGAGTTTGGGAAAAATTCAGAGAAGAGCAACTAAGATGATCCAAGGCCTGGAGCCTAAAACATATCAAGAGCGGCTGCGGGACTTGGGTTTGGCTAGTCTAAAAAAAACAAAACAGGGGAGACAGGATAGCAGTCTTCCAGTATCTCAGGGGCTGCCCCAAAGAAGAGGGAGTCAAGCTATTCTCCAAAGCACCAGAAGGAAGGACGAGAAACGATGGTTGGAAACTGACCAAAAAGAGAAGCAACCTGGAATTAAGGAGAAACTTCCTGACAGTGAGGACAATTAACCAGTGGAACTCCTTGCCACCAGAAATCATGGGCGCTCCATCCCTGGAGGTTTTTAAGAAGAGGCTAGACAGTCACTTGTCTTGAGACGGTGTAGGTTCTCCTGCTTGAGCGAGAGGCTGGACTAGAAGACCTCCAAGGTCCCTTCCAGCTCTATTCTATTCCTATCAGGCAGCAAAGCAAGATGAACAAACGGCTATGAGGTTATTGGATGGTGTCCATCAATTTCCTGTAATTCTCTCTCTCTCTCTCTCTCTCTCTCTCTCACTCTCTCTCTTTCTCTCTCTCTTTTTCTCTCTCTCACTCTCACTCTTTCTTTCTCTCCCTCTCTCTCTCTTTCTCTCTCTCTCTCTTTTTTTTTCTCTTTCTCTTTCTCTTTCTCTCTCTTTCTCTCTTTCTCTCTCTCTTTTTCTCTTTCTCACTCTCTCTCTCTCTCTCTCTCTCTCTCTCTCACACACACACACACACACACACACACACACACACAGATACGAAGGAAGGAAGGAAGGAAGGAAGAATTAGCTGGAGGCTGGCAGAAAACTAGCCACTGTTCCTTTAGCACTGCTGGCAGTTGTGTTGGTGTCAAATGAAAGGGTCCTCTGTTTCGACTTGCTGTGTCCCTCCATTGTGTAGGAAGAGGACATTTGGGGTGATTCAGCCCAGCACTGCCAGGACTACAGGAGACAGGAATGCAACCCTTTCCATTACTAGTGATGGTGCTCCATCACTGGAGGTTTTCAGGAAGAGATTTGTCTGAAATGGTATACGGTTTTCCTGCTTGAGCAGGGGGCTGGACTAGAAGACCTCCAAGGTCCCAGCTTTCTTCCATTCCATTCCATATTTTCTATTCTATTCTATTCTATTCTATTCTATTCTATTCTATTCTATTCTATTCTATTCCATTCCATTCCATTCCATTCCATTCCATTCCATTCCATTCCATTCCATCTCTCCTCTCCTCTTCTTCTCTTTGAGGGGCTGCCAGAAAGACAGGCGGTCAACAGCTACCTGTAAGTGTGACTTAGAGAACCGACTGCAGGGGTTTTAAAGAAAAGAAAATGGAAGAGCTGTTTGGTCAGAACATTGCACAGCCGGTGTCCAAATGAAGTTAGAGACCACTGACATGAACTTGCAGTTTTGTATAAATAAACCTATTTAACATCTGTGTTTACAGCAAACTAGACAAGTCCGGCTGACTGGAGCCTCATGAGGTAAATCAACACAGCAGGAGCTTCGTGAGGTAAATTACAGAGCGCACAGGAGAAAAAGGCGGGAAAAAAGGAACCTCCCCTCCCCCTCCACAACAACCAATCACAGCACAGATTGCCTCACGCAGGAGCCAACCCTCTCCAATCAATCAGCCACAATTGGCTGTTCTGGCTGACTGCACGCACAGACACACACACACACACACACACACACACACACAGAGAGAGAGAGAGAGACACACAGAAACGCAAACACCGCTCCAGCTACTAAATTTAAATATCTTAACATGTTTGCTTCTGTGGCAGTCTCCCCACAGCCTTGAGGACTAGAAACTTAGCTTAAGAATAAACAGTGGGCTTTCATTCTGGTATCTGTGAAAAAGATCCAGTTGGCAACCCCAAGTCTACTCACCACGGCATTCGCGGCCTGTCCTGACGTCTCGGCAATTGGATCTGATGTTAATTCTTCCGTCCATTTCGCGGCCGGTATCATCTTGGTAGTAGACGAGGCTGCCGTCCGCCCACAGCACGAACCAGTTCCTTTTCCAGCGTCGCAGAATAGAACCTGCACAGGCCGGGGGGATGGGGGAAAGAATTAAGAAAAATGGGGAAATAGTACAGATAGTCCTCGACTTATAACCGTTCATTTAATGACCAAAGATACAACAGCACTGAAAAAAGTGACTTAGGACCGTTTTTCACACTTATGACCATTGCCGTCACGTGATCCAAATTCAGACGCTTGGAAACCGATTCGTATTTATGACGGGCTGCAGGGTCCCGGGATGATGTGATCCGCTTTTGTGACCTTCTGACAAACAAGGTCAATGGAGGAAGCCAGAGTCACCGAAGAACCGTGGCAAAGAAAGTTGTCAAATGGCACAAACCTCACTTAACAAATGTCTCGCTTAGCGACAGAAACCTTGGGCTCAATTGTGGTCATAAGTCAAGGACTACCTGTATTTACGACGGTTGCAGTGTCCTGGGGTCATGTGATTCCCCTTCTGCGACCTTCCAACAACCAAAGGCAACGTGGAAGCTGGATTCACTTAACAACCGTGTTGGTATCTTAACAATGATTCATTTAACAACTGTGGCAAGAAAAGTAAAACAAAATGGGGCAAAACTCATTTAACAAGGCCTCGCTTAGCAACAGAAATGTTGAGCTCAGTTGTGGTCGTAAGTCGAGGATTACATCTACATCCTTGTGAATCAACTCTTTAGCATATATGTTATCATCCTTCAATGCTTTAAGCACTTTAAAAGCTTGGATAGGCTGAGTAATCGCACAGACACGATTCCAAAGCAGCTTAATTATTTTACTTTGGTACAATTCATCATTATTCTATTCTGTCATTTCCTCTTTGGATTTAGGCAGCCGCCCACGGGCGACAGAACTCGAGAAAGCTCCCAGACAACAACAAAAATAAGAAAACAAATTAAAAGGATTATAAAACAATCCAAAACAAGTGAACTAAATGTGCCAGCCAAGGTGGCGCCATCAGAAATGCTAGTCCACACACAGGTGATCCTCGACTTAACAACCATTTGTTTACTGACCACTTGAACTTACAACGGCACCCAAAAAAATGACTTAGGACCAGTGGTGGGATTCAGACATGTGAACAACCGGTTCTGTGTGTGGATGCCGCTTCCGGAAGTCCATTCTGGGCCCGGGCAACAAAAAATTAGTTACTGGTTCTGCCGAAGTGGTGCGAACCAGCTGAATCCCACCACTGCTTAGGACCGATTTCCACGCTTGTGACCGTCACAGCCTCCCCATGGTCATGTGATCAGAATTCAAACACGTGGCAACTGACTCATATTTATGATGGTTGTGGTTTCCTGGGGGTTACGTGATCTGTTTTTGTGACCTTCTGACCATGAGGAAGCGAGATTCACTGAACAACTGAGTTACTAACTTAACTGCAGTGATTCCCTTAACTGTGGTCAGAAAGCTCATAAAACAGGGCCAAAGTCACTTAACAACTTGTTTAGCAAAGGAAATTGTGAGCTCAGTTGTGGTCGTAAGTCGAGGGCTTGCAGCACAGCCACCAGCCGCTGAAACGGAAGATTACTGGAAGAACATATGAAGAAAAAAAAAAGACCTATAACTCCACTGCAAAGTGGTCGCAGGATCTGAGAACAGATCTCTGCGATCTCCCTAGAGCAGGGGTAGGCAACCTTGGCTCTTTTATGCCTCGTGGACTTCAACTCCCAGAATTCCTCAGCCCGCCATGCTGAGGGGAAGGGAGAGGTTTCCAAGCTGAGCCATGCTGGCTCAGGAATTCTGGGAGTTGAAGTCCACAAGTCATGAAGGGACCATAGTTCCCCCATGTTGGCTGAGGAATTCTGGGAGTTGAAGTCCACGAGTCATGAAGGGGCCATAATTCCCCCATGTTGGCTGAGGAATTCTGGGAGTTGAAGTCCACGAGTCATGAAGGGGCCATAATTCCCCCATGTTGGCTGAGGAATTCTGGGAGTTGAAGTCCACGAGTCATGAAGGGGCCATTGTTCACTCATGCTGGCTCAGGAATTCTGGGAGTTAAAAAGTCCACAAGTCATGAAGGGACCATAGTTCCCCCCATGCTGGCTGAGGAGTTCTGGGAGTTGGTCCACAAGTCATAAAGGCAGCCATAGTTCCCCCATGATGGCTGAGGACTTCTGGGAGTTAAAGTCCACAAGTCATGAAGAGGCCATAGTTCCCCCATGCTGGCTGAGGAATTCTGGGAGTTGAAGTCCACCAATCATGAAAGGGCCATAGTTCCCCCATGCTGGCTCAGGAATTCTGGGAGCTGAAATCCATGAGTCATAAAAGAGCCAAGGTTGCCTACCCCTGCCCTAGACGAATCGGTCAGCAGCCTACATCTACCAGTGGATCGAGAACTTTTTGAAATGGAGAGCCAATGGACATGACCACACTAGCTAAAGAAACTAAGAGAAGTGCATGAACGTTGAGTAGCACAGATGAGCCAACTGGTAGTAAAAGGCCCCGGAAATTAATCACTTATGCAGGTGGAGGCTCATTCTCCGAACTTGTGGGTCGATTTCTTTGCTACCAGGCTAGGTAACATCTTCAGCAGAGTTTAGGGAAGTTTAGAATTTAGTGTCCCTCTGCTTATAAGGGCTTCAGGTGTGGGTGTGTTGAGCGAGGGTCTCGTGATGAGTCAGGTGTGAGTCATCAGTGAGGGTCTTGGGATGGATCTTGTATAGGGAGGTCACATCAGCTCAGGGTGATTGGGAGGTAAACCACTGGTGGAAAATGGGGGATTGCGCGGGATAGTTGAAGCTTGGTGTTGTCTCTGGTCAGTTGATTTGGATCCTGATCGTGGGCTGGTTATAGGTCGATGTATCTGTGGATGGAAGTGCATGTGGAGGGCCAGGCTTCAAGGGACTCACAAGCGTGGCGTCTGGGAGTGTGGCCGATGGTTTTTGTGTTGTTCCAATCGAACTGGTGCTGTTTGGTCTCAGTGTGGGTGGAGATTAAGGATTCGGGATTGGGGCATTCGACTGCCAGCAAGTGTTCGTGGATCCTGTTTTTTTAACTGACATGATGTTTGTCCCATGTAGAATTGGTTGCAATTGATCACTCAATCACTACATCGCTTAACAAAAAATTTGGGCTCAAATTGTGGTCGCAAGTCGAAGACTACCTATATTTATATATTTATTCGTAGTTCACATTTCTGAATGAATTTGGGTGCTAAGGATTTGATTTTTTTTCTCTTTGAAGTGAGGAATTGCAGCAGTCAAGGGCATGGCAGAGATTTTGAGCCCCAAATTTCTGTGGCTAAATGAAACATTTGTTAAGTGGATTTTGACTCGTTTTACAACCCTTTCTTGCTACAGTTGTTAAGCGAATCACCGCAGTTGTTAAGTTAGTCACACGGTTGTTAAGTAAATCTGGCTTTCCCCCCGTTGACTTTGCTTATAAAAAGGTCGCAAAGGGGATCACGTGAGCCCAGGATGCTGCAACCGTCATCAATAGGAACCAGTTGCCAAGTGTCCGAATTTTGATGACCTGCAAAGGTCATTAAGTGTGAAAAAAGGATGATAAGTCTCTGTTTTCATTGCTGTTGTAACACTGAACGGTCACTAAACGAATGGTTGCAAGTGAAGAACTACCTGTACATTTTAACTGCTTTCTCTCCAAATTCCCGCCATCCTCTTCTTCTCCTCTTTTCCGAGAACCTTCTGGGCATTTCTTTCCTAGCGCCTTTTGATCGGAAGCCTGGAGCGAAACGGTCGCCCACAGATGTGGGAAGCGAAGAAAGTGCAAATGTTGCAGAACCTCAGGGCCAGCTTGTCATCCAACACTTCGCGATTGGAGCCTTTGCATTGATTTTCCGTCTGTTCTTCTCCTAGGGGGTTTGGACCCCTTCCAGCTTCCCATTTAAAACCCGCCGATTGACCCACGCAACCTTCACACGGAGGCCCTGATCTGCTGCAGGGAGGGACTGCCGAGCTGAAGAATTTTGAAACTGAATTGCAATGCGTAATTCGGAAGGATGCAGATTTGGGGGGGAAATGCGTGAAAGGAGCACGTCCGGGGTCTAAGGCTGGACTAGAACTCACCATCTCCTGGTGATTGGCCCAAAGTTCACCCAGCCGGCTTTCATGCCTAAGGCGGGACTAGAACTCACCGTCTTCTGGTGATTGGCCCAAAGTCACCCAGTCGGCTTTCATGCCTAAGGCAGGACTAGAACTCACCGTCTCCTGGTGATTGGCCCAAAGTCACCCAGCTGGCTTTCATGCCTAAGGCGAGACTAGAACTCACCGTCTCCTGGTGATTGGGCCAAAGTCACCCAGCTGGCTTTCATGCCTAAGGCGGGACTAGAACTCACCGTCTCCTGGTAATAGGCCCAAAGTCACCCAGCTGGCTTTCATGCCTAAGGCGGGACTAGAACTCACCGTCTCCTGGTGATTGGGCCAAAGTCACCCAGCTGGCTTTCATGCCTAAGGCGGGACTAGAACTCACCGTCTCCTGGTAATAGGCCCAAAGTCACCCAGCTGGCTTTCATGCCTAAGGCGGGACTAGAACTCACTGTCTCCTGGTGATTGGCCCAAAGTCACCCAGCTGGCTTTCATGCCTAAGGCAAGACTAGAACTCACCGTCTCCTGGTGATTGGCCCAAAGTCACCCAGCTGGCTTTCATGCCTCAGGCGAGACTAGAACTCACCGTCTCCTGGTGATTGGGCCAAAGTCACCCAGCTGGCTTTCATGCCTAAGGCGGGACTAGAACTCACCGTCTCCTGGTAATAGGCCCAAAGTCACCCAGCCGGCTTTCATGCCTAAGGCGGGACTAGAACTCACCGTCTCCTGGTGATTGGCCCAAAGTCACCCAGCCAGCTTTCATGCCTAAGACTGAACTAGAACTCACTGTCTCCTGATAATAGGCCCAAAATCACCCAGCTGGCTTTCATGCCTAAGGCGGGACTAGAACTCACCATCTCCTGGTGATTGGCTCAAAGTCACCCAGCTGGCTTTCATGCCTAAGGTGGGACTAGAACTCTCAGTCTCCTAGTTTCTAAGCCAGCACCTTCACCACTACATCAAACTTCCTCTCCACGTCACTTTTGGACCAGTATTTGCACAGATGATTTACCACTGTCATCTTCTGGGATCTTTTCCCCTTTATTTCTCACCCTTCTGGAATTCTCATCAATCCGCCCATACAAATACAAACCCAAGCTGTCTCTACTTAGCTTCCGTGATCAGCAGTACCTTCCCCCCCTTTGAGCCTCCTAAAGGACCTAATCACCACCCAGACGGGGAAAACCCCCCTGGTGATGGACCTGGTAAAAGAAATTCCAATTGCAATTGCACACTAGGAAATTTCCTCAATTAACTTACTCTGTCTCCAGAGCCAGCCGCATTTCAATAGAGCCATCTTTTGCCAAGTCTTTTTTTCTCCACAGAAATATCTGGATCAAATGGAAGAAGAAGAAGAAAAAATATATATATATACACCGGGGGTTAGGAATATTAAACCATCAAGCTGTGCTCCATAGCATCTTCTTGACTTCGAAGTAATAATAATAATAATAATAATAATAATAATAATAATAATAATAATAAATGTGCGATGATCGATAATAATAATAGTTGGAAGGGACCTTGGAGGTCATCTAGTCCAACCCCATGCTCAGGCAGGAAACCCTAGACCATTTCAGACAAATGGCTGTCCAGTCTGTTAGAATAGAATAGAGCTGGAAGGGACCTTGGAGGTCATCTAGTCCAACCCCATGCTCAGCAGGAAACCCTAGACCATTTCAGACAAATGGCTGTCCAGTCTGTTAGAACAGAATAGAGCTGGAAGGGATCTTGGAGGTCATTTAGTAGTCCAACCCCATGCTCAGGTAGGAAACCTTATACCATTTCAGACAAATGGCTGTCCATCTCTTCTTGAAAACCTCCAGTGCTGGAGCACCATCACTGTAATGGAGAATGAAGAGGAGAGGAGAAGAGAAGAGAAGAGAAGAGAAGAGAAGAATAAATGGAATGGAATGGAATGGAATGGAATGGAATAGAATAGAATAGAATAGAATAGAATAGAATAGAATAGAATAGAATAGAATAAAGCAAAGCTGGAAGGACCTTGGAAGTCATCTAGTCTAACCCCATGCTCTAGTCTAAACCCTATACTCTTTCAGACAAATGGCTGTCCAATCCTGAAAATAATTTGGTGTTTAGCAAGAGGTTTACACTGTAGTCCTACTGCCAGCTTCCGTGAGAAAATCGAGGTCACAGGGCTGCTAAATATAGACCCAAGTTCCTGCTAACCTGATATCTCTCTCTCTCTCTCTCTTTTTTTTTTTTAAACGTTCTTCCTGAATTATCCCCGTTATGTAAAATATTTCAAGGCAGCTCAAGAGAGAGATAATTCATATCCCTCGGTGGGAGTTAGAGATTAGCGCTTGAATTTGTCTCGATCCAAAGCCCTCTGCTTTGTTGTTGTTATTGTTGTTGTTGTTGTTTTCATTAGGAGAATCCCTGGAGATTCCTGAAAATTCTTTCAACTCGTTTTTTTTGTTCTTCTTTTTTTTTTTTTTTTGCAAACATCCCTATTCTGGGTTTTTTTTTCAAAGGCTGTTCACATAATGCCCCCCCCCCGCCTGGGCTGTGTAAACACAGATTCAGGAACAGAAGCCAAAGGGGAGTAACACCACCCACCCCTTTCCATTCAACTGTTTGAAAACATCTCCTTCTGCTGTTCCACCAGAACCGCACAAAAGAGGCCTGGGATTGGTGCAAAATGCAAACAGACCAAAACACCACTTGATAATGCCTTGGTAAGGTCACATTTGGAATACAGCATCCAGTTTTGGTCACCACAATGTAAAAAAGATGTAAAGACTCTAGAAAGAGTGCAGAGAAGAGCAACAAAGATGATCAGGGGACTGGAGGCTAAAACATACAAGGAACAGTTGCAGGAATTGGGTATGTCTGGTTTAATGAAGAGAAGGACGAGGGGCGACATGATAGCAGCCTTCCAGTATCTGAGGGGCTGCCCCAAAGAAGAGGCAGTCAAGCTCTTCTCCAAAGCGCCTGAAGGCAGGACAAGAAGCAATCGATGAAAACTCATCAAGGAGAAAAACAACCTGGAACTAAGGAGAAACTTCCTGACAGTGAGAAGAATTAATCAGTGAAACTGGCTTCCCTTCAGAAGTTGTGGGTGCTCCAACACTGGAAGGTTTTTAAGAAGAGACTGGACAACCATCTGTTTGAAATGAGTATAGGGCTTACTGTTTGAGCAGGGGGTTGGACTAGAAGACCTCCAAGGTCCCTTCCAACTCTGCCATTCTGTTATTCTGCCCCTTCCCCAGGTTTCTACAAACCCCAGGATAAGCCTGATTCGCATCCAGACCAGTAACAGAAGGGAACAACCTGTGAGATCCAGTTTTGGAGTCTGGGGCCCCAGTCCCCAGCCTCTCCGTTGGCTTGGAGACAAATTGGGTCATTGGCAAACAGAACTTGGGACTGCCCTGAAAGGCCAAATCTAGGAAAACCGTGAGGACATGCAGAGAATCTGCACTTAAGCCCAAAGTCAAGGCCGAGGGTGAAAAGCCAGGTTTGGGGGCACAAGGGTGCAGGACAAATATTAGGGGCACATGACAAATGTTAGGGGCACATGACAAATATTGGAGCACAAGGGTGCAGGACAAATATTAGGGGCACATGACAAATGTTAGGGGCACATGACAAATAGGGGCACAAGGGTGCAGGACAAATATTAGGGGCACATGACAAATGTTAGGGGCACATGACAAATAGGGGCACAAGGGTGCAGGACAAATATTAGGGGCACATGACAAATGTTAGGGGCACATGACAAATATTGGGGTACAAGGGTGCAGAACAAATATTAGAGGGCACATGACAAATGTTAGGGGCACATAACAAATATTGGGGCACAAGGGTGCAGGACAAATGTTGGGGGCACATGACAAATAGGGGCAATAGGGTGCAGGACAAATATTAGGGGGCACATGACAAATGTTAGGAGCACATGACAAATATTGGGGCACAAGGGTACAGGAAAAATTTTAGGGGCACATAACAAATATTGGGGCACAAAGGTGCAGGACAAATAGGGGCACATGACAAATATTAGGGGCACATGACAAATAGGGGCACAAGGGTGCAGGACAAATATTAGGGGCACATGACAAATATTGGGGCACATGACATATTGGGGCACATGACAAATGTTCGGGGGACAAGGGGCGCACGAAGGGGAAGCAACTCCGTTTCTTAGCCCGAGTGCCCAGGGGTTACCATGCAAGCAAGGAAGGCAGAGAGGTGCCTGGAAGCGACCCCGGGCGCTCTCCAAAGCCGGCGAGGGGAGACCCTTCACCCCTCTTTCCCGATTCGCAAGGGGCTGCTTTGGGTCCCGCGACCGGCTAATCTTCCCCCCCTCCTCCGTCCCCATTCACACGACCCCCCCACCCCACTACCCGCATCTGGGCCAGGCTCGCTGCGCTGCCGAGGCCGGGCAGAGGCGCAGATGATGCGTAAAGGCGCAGAGTGGGAGAAGGGCAGGCGGATATCCCGGCCGCGGCGGGTCGTCTGGAGCTTCCTGGGCTTACCTGGGCTCGGGAGCCCTAGAGCGGGCTGCGCTACGGCTTCCTCCGCCGCCTCCGTCCCCGGCAGACCCGCCACGGAGCTGCAAGCGTCGGCGGAGCTGGCCTCCCCTCCGCGCCTGCCAGCTGGCGTTTGACACGGCCTGCCGGGAGTTATGGCTGGGCTGGGCTGGGCTGGGCAGGGCAGGGCAGGGCAGAGGCGGCGGGGCTGGACTCCGTCTCTCCCCGCGGGCCGGAGGAGGCGCCCGCGAGCGAGCCAGGCAGCCGGCGGAGCCTGCCCTGCGTTGGGCTGGCTGGACGGAGCGCGCCCTCGCCAGGATGGGAGAGGCGGAGACGCCCAGCACCGTGCGCCGCTTGGCGCATGACGGCCCCTCTGACCCATCATCCCCAGCCTGAGGAGGAGGCCGAGTCACCTACCGGCTAGGAAAGGAGGGCAGCGAGATTCGATTATCCCGCTGTTGCTGTAAGGACGCGCCTCTATTCAATTGCAGAATAACAGAGTTGGGAGGGGGACCTTGGGGGGTCATCTAGTCCAACCCCCTGCTCAAGCAGGAGACCTTGTACCATTTCAGACAAACGGCTGTCCAGTCTCTTCTTAAAAGTCTCCAGTGATGGAGTACCCACAACTACTGGAGGCAAGGAATAGAATAGAATAGAATAGAATAGAATAGAATAGAATAGAATAGAATAGAATAGAATAGAAATAGAATAGAAATAGAATAGAATAGAAATACAGAATAGAATAGAATAGAAATAGAATAGAATAGAAATACAGAATAGAAATAGAAATAGAATAGAATAGAAATACAGAATAGAATAGAATAGAATAGAAATAGAATAGAATAGAAATAGAAATAGAATAGAATAGAATAGAAATAGAAATAGAATAGAATAGAATAGAAATAGAATAGAATAGAAATACAGAATAGAATAGAATAGAATAGAATAGAATCTGGAAGGGACCTTGGAGGTCTTCTAGTCCAGCCCCCTACTCAAACAGAAGAACCTATACCATCTCCAACAGATGGTTGTCTAGTCTCTTCTTAAAAACCTTCAGTGTTGGAGCATTCACCGCTTCTGGAGGCAGGTGGTTCCACTGGTTAATTGTCCTCCCTGTCAGGAAGTTTCTCCTTAATTCCAGGTTGCTTCTCTCCTTGATGAGTTTCCATCCATTGTTTCTGGTCTTGCCGTTTGCTGCTTTGGAAAATAAATTGACCCCCTCTTCTTTGTGGCAGCCCCTCAAATATTGGAAGTCTACTATCATGTCATCCCTAGTCCTTCTTTCCATTAAACTAGACATACCCAATTCCTGCAACTGTTCTTCACATGTTTTCGTCTCCAGGCCTTTATTCATCTTAGTTGCTCTTCTCTGCATTTTTTTTTCCAGAGTCTCAACATCTTTTTTGTAATGTGGTGAGCAAAACTGGATGCAGTATTCCAGGTGTGGCCTTTATAAGGCTTTATAAAGCGGTACTAATACTTCACGTGATTTTGATTCTACGCCTCTGTTTATACAATCAAGGACTGTATTCAGGAAAATACTGGAATGTGCAGAGATGGACAGATTAACTATGAGGTTGAAAGACAAAGAAGATACAGACTACTATCGAATTTGGAATTTATTTTATTCTTGGTTAGAGAAAAGAATGATGGATTAGGAATTGAACATGTAATAGCTTAGCAAACTCCAGACAACTTGTTGATTGGAAAAATTAACATATGTTGATGAAAAAAATAATAATAAAAAAAGAAAGGATTGTATTAGCTTTTTAGGCTGCTACCGCAGCCAAAAATCTAGATAAATAGAGGTTGACTTTGAATAATCAGTGGAACAACCTGCCTCCAGAAGCAGTGAATGCTCCAACACTGGAAGTTTTTAAGAAGAGATTGGACAGCCATTTGTCCGAAATGGTGTAGGGTTTCCTGCCTGAGCAGGGAGTTGGACTAGATGACCTCCAAGGTCCCTTCCAACTTTACTATTATTTATTGTTGTTGTTAATTGCGAAGTCGTGTCCGACCCGTCCGACCCCATGGACAATGTTCCTCCAAGTCTTTCTGTCCTCTACCATCTTCTGGAGTCCATTTAAATTCACACCTACTGCTTCAGTGACTCCATCCAGCCATCTCATTCTCTGTCGTCCCTGTTACTCTGTCGTCCCTGTTACTATTATTATTATTATTATTATTATTATTATTATTATTATTATTATTATTATTATTATACAATCCTTAGCTAAAAAAAGTTTTTAATGTAAGGTTTGAAATTAAGCTGAAGGAAGCATCAGGCTCCCTGCTGCTCCATCTTTAAATCAAATATATAAGGATAATTCGTTCTCTTGGGCAGAGAAACCTCAGTTGTGGATAGCATGTTTTTATCCACTCTGGGCTGGCTGCAAAGATCTTGGCTCAAAACTCAGCAGGGTGCCACCTTCTACAGCAAAGACAAATTATTCATAAACATTTCCTTTCTTTCAGATCACGGGTTGCGTTGGCAGGGATAGAAAATGGGGCTACATTTAATAATAATAATAATAGTAATAATAATAATAATAAAACAAAAACTGGTGGGATCATAAAATAGAGAAAGTCATAGAAAATGATAAAATTAAACTGCTCTGGGACTTCAGAATTCAAACAGACAAACACCTGCAACATAACACCCCAGACTTAACAATTGTCGATAAGAAAGACAAAAAAGTCTGGATAGTGGATGTGGCAGTGCCTGGAGACAGCAGAATAGAAGAGAAAGAGCTGGAGAAGATAACAAAATACAAAGACCTACAAATAGAAATAGAAAGACTGTGGCAAAAGCAAGCAAGGGTAGTACCAATAGTAATAGGCGCCTTGGGTGCAATCCCAAAACAACTGGAGCACCACTTGAACACCATTGGCATTGACAAATTCGCTATTAGTCAATTGCAAAAGGCGGCCTTACTAGGAACTGCTTCCATCCTGCGACGATACCGGTAATACCACCAACATCCACATCTGCCTATCCCAGGTCCTGGGTAAGGACTCGATAGGTAGACAAAATGCCAAATCCAGTTTGAACATCTGGCTGACTGTGCAATGATCCATAATAATAATAATAGTTGGAAGGGACCTTGGAGGTCATCTAGTCCAACCCCCTACTCAGGCAGGAAACCCTATACCATTTCAGACAAATTTAATAAGATGCACCAGCAAAGGGCTAACTACGTCTGGCTTTGGAATCTTTGGCCTGTTTCTGCGGAAAGGAGACCACAAGGAAATGACGGCTATTTGCAAACTTCCCAGCCAGCTTCCAACATGCAAAGTCAAATGCGGGAAGCTGGATTGGCTTAACGACTGCACGATTCGTTTAACAACTGTAGCAATTCGCTTAACAAATCTGGCAAAAAAATGTCTTTGTTGGTTATATGCACCCAGTAGATTAATGCTTCTCCACCTTGGCAACTTTGCGATGTGTGGACTTCAACTCCCAGAATTCCCCACTCAGCTTGCTGACTGGGGAATTCTGGGAATCAAAGTCCAGACTTTTTAAAGTTGCCACGGCTGAGAAACACTGCAATATTCTAAGCCTGAACTCTTGAGTTAACCCCCAAAAATTGTCTAGCTTCATATGACATCTAACAAACCACATAATAATCTCCTATCATAGTCTGGTTTACATCTCATTCAGATAATCCTTGACTTATAACAGTTCATTTAATAACCATTGAACGTTACAAAGGGACTGAAAAAAAATGACTTATGGCTATTTTTCACACAACTGTTGCAGCCTCCCTATGGTCACGTGTTCAAAATTCAGACACTTGGCCACTGACTCATAGTTATGACAGCTTGCAGTGTCCCGGGGGGAGGGGATCACATTATTATTATTATTATTATTATCGATCATCGCACAGTCAGCCAGATGTTCAGACTGGATTTGGCATTTTGTCTACCTATCGAGTCCTTACCCAGGACCTGGGATAGGCAGATGTGGATGTTTGATGGTATTACAGATATCGTCGCAGGATGGAAGCAGTTCCTAGTAAGGCCGCCTTTTGCAATTGACTAATAGCGAATTTGCAATGCCAATGGCGTTCAAGTGGTGCTCCAGTTGTTTTGGGATTGCACCCAAGGAGCCTATCACTATTGGTACTACCCTGGCTTGCTTTTGCCACAGTCTTTCTATTTCTATTTGTAGGTCTTTGTATTTTGTTATCTTCTCCAGTTCTTTCTCTTCTCTTCTGCTGTCTCCAGGCACTGCCACATCCACTATCCAGACTTTTTTGTCTTTCTTATCGACAATTGTTAAGTCTGGGTGTTATGTTGCAGGTGCTTGTCTGTTTGAATTCTGAAGTCCCAGAGCAGTTTAATTTTATCATTTTCTATGACTTTCTCTATTTTACGATCCCACCAGTTTTTGCTTACAGGCAAATGATATTTTTTGCAGATCTTCCAATGCACCATTGTTGCTACTTTGTCATGCTGCTGCTTGTAGTCAGTCTGTGCGATCTTCTTGCAGCAGCTTACCAGGTGGTCCACTGTTTTTTCAGCTTCT